GGGCGCCTCAAAAGCAATGTATTAAAGTCGTCAACGTGGTGCATGCACCTCACAAGTGCGAAAAAAATATATTATAAATAAAAACGTAAAAATTTGGAAAACAAAATCCCTTCATGATACACAGTATACGGACTGTGTCGCAACAAGTATTGCGCAAGGGTGTGATTTTAAAATCCGGACATTAACGGTCATTGGGATATGTCATTTGGAGCTTCCACCGAAGCTTTTATTTTCTCTACCCGCTGACGTCACCGCTTAGTTAAGTGCAACTCGCCGTCGAGCTAAATTAACGCTCTCGAAATTTTTTTGGTTCTTAGTTGATTTTTTCTGTGCACACAAAACCATTTGTTGGAACATTCGAAACATAGATATTGCCGAAGCGGAAATTAAATCAATTAATATTGCTCCAGCATAAGCGTAGCTTGAAGTGTGCGTATTGTTATTTTTGTTGTGAGAGCAAAAGCTCTTTACTTGTCGACCATAAATTGGCCATTATCATTTTTTTAAGTGTGCAAGGCAAAAAAGGGGAAAAAATAAAAAATATTGAGGAAATGCGAAACAATTAGACATATAATAATGAAAGCATAACCTATATAAAGTACATACAAACTCAACACTAACCTACATACACGCATCGATGGAAAGCTTTCCATCGTTGGGTACATATAGGTGTAAATTATTTAAATTATTGCATATGCCAATAAACATAAATAAGAACAACAAAAAAACAACTAAACAAAAAACAAAATATATATACATCGTTAACACAACTATTATAACTTTGGGCTTATACATATTTATTCGGAGCTTTGTCTTTAATACAGAAAATATGTCCGCTTCATGCGACTTATGCTACTATATTCAAGCGACCAAAAGCGACTGCCTCACACTACATGAAAATAGTTGCAACATACCATCGAATAAGGTCTTGATCATAAGGAACTTACAATTACCGTTGCTCGCAGGCAACAACATATTAAGACTACAAAACGGAACTGCAAGACAAGCTGCGGTGTACGTAGGCAAATATAGCTATTTCCAGCACTCCTTTTCAGCGCAGTTTGCCTACTTCTTCTTAAACAAAATAAACTTTTACATATTCAGCGCATACCCATTAAGTTAACAAATTCCTTATGCTTTGCTTTACAAAGGTTTTTCGTTAACACATCAGAGATCATGTTCTTGGTAGATACATATTCAATTTCAACTACATTATTTTTTACCATATCTCTGAAATGATGATATTTAATGTCGAGACGCGCATGGAACTTAGCATATTTTGCTAAGCATTGAGAGCTTTGATTATCGCTACATATCCTTGTTACAGATCCCTCGCTGAAACCCATTTCACGCTTGACGTTGCGTATATGCAAATATAGTTATTTCCAACTGTTGTAAATAACGTGGCAAAATGAAGAGTCAAACGCAGTTTCTAATTATAGATTATCTTTATTATGCGAGAATGCGTCTTTAGTTATTGAAGAATTGAGAGCAACTCAACTTACAATGCAGAAAAAGAAATCAATTCATGTGTGACCTAAGCTTCGATACTAATCGGTATAGCAATACTTAAGTATTAATCGTTGCTGTGATATTCAAACACATTTCAACACCAAGAATAACCATACAACAACAATCAAAACTCCCTTTAAGCTTGTGCAATGCGAATAGCTGTTCCTAAGGCAAGCTTAGCGCACATTGCCCGCAAATATAGTGCCTACAAGATCGGTTCGCACACTTTCGTTGTTATTTTTTTTGCTTGCCAATATATAAAATAAATAAAAATTTGTTACAATTCCTGTGCACAGTACAGTTGAGATGCATGCGCACACCCCGTGCATAAGTTTCAATTCATGTTCTTAAATAATTTTTTAATTTTAATTAACTTTGTTTAGATTTACGTTAAATTTTCATAACGAACTATAAGAAAATTTGGTTCAATTAATTTGATAAATTTAATTAATTTTGGAGTTAAATAATTTGAATTAATTAACTTGTAGAAATTCATCTGGTTATTAGTTGTTTTCTTAGTTTCTATCAAATAATATTTTGTTAAATTTAATTTTGTTACTTTTTCTTAATTTGAATAATTAAAGTTATTTGACGTCCTTTTTTCCATTATTTTTGTACAACTATCATGGGTTTCAATGTAATTTTGCTAATGAAATTAATTTTTGTAATTAATTTTAGTAAATTAAATTTTTTATGATTAATATTATTTTGATTAGTATAATTAATCTTTTTATGCATTTTTTGAAGTAAATTTTTATAATTAATTTTTTAATTATTAGCAATAATTTTTTCTTATTAAGTAGATTCTATTATGGGGCTGACGCTATTCGCCTCTAAGGTAATTTTAGCTTTATGAAACATGGAAATTAATTGTGAAATGAATTGCTAAAAATCGTGAACGTTCCTGGGAGACATGGCAATAAAATGAGTTAAGATAATTATTCTTAGGGGATCTTCGATTGAATTCGCCTAGAAGATCATGGTTGGGTTAATGTAAAGAACGCGAGTGTCGACCACCACCTCAGACCTTGTCCATTTATTTTGTTGTGTTTTCTGTTGTATGCAAATTTTTTCGAGGAGTATCATCTCCTAGTTTACTTTCAGTAGGATTCCTAAATAATTAAATTGTATTCTCACTAGCAAAAATTAAATTAAATTAATATTGCTTGTATAAATTCTTTGATTAGGATGCATGCATGCATATTTTTAAATAAAGATCTTATTTTTATATATCCTTAACCGTAATAGAAATAAAATACAAATTAACATAATTAATATATAATTAGGACATGTGGTTTTTCTTCAGTAGCAGTGTCAGAGGAAAATTTGGAAATAAAACTATAATATATTTAACAGCTAAGTTCAGGGCATATCGTTGTCGAGCTCAGTCGACTACAACATTCTTACTTATTTAATTTAGAAACGCTAGCCCCAATCATCTTATAAAATGGACCCGTAAAATGTATGGGCTTAATAACTAATAAGCAGAGGCGAATTTATGAATTCTGTGTACACATAAAAACACACTATAGTATAAAAAGAATGTTTGTAATTTTCTGCATTGGAATTGTAAAGTAAATGCCCTGGCTCTTATGGGGTGCTTACACATTCTGTCAACATTGGCGAATACTCGATGACTGTGCGGAGAGACGTGGCAACGCTCCGGCCAGAGACTATTTGCACGTGTGTAGACACCTAAACGAATGTATCTGGCAATATTGCGACGAATAATTTTGATTGCAAGCCATTTTCCCGCCAGAGACGGCTGTTTATATGCAACATAAAATGCATTTTATAGATACATAGAGTCGTCAAATCGACCAAAAAAAAAGTACATCAGTTTGGGCTCAGGCGGGCTCAGATTGCAACGCGTCGAAAATTTTGCAGGGGTTGAGTGTTGAGCAGCGAACGCAGGTCATTATTTCACTTGACTTCGCTGCGACAACATCGCTGGTAAATGAAAAACCTAGCCTTTTATGATCATGCATGGGTGCGAACAGGTACGCACCTTTTTTGGTAGGCCCTAATGGGTTATGAATGTGAAAAATTAAAATTTTCGACGCGGTGCAGTTTGGTCCCGCCTGAACCCCATAGGCTCAGAAAAAATCCTTATTTCTTAGCGATTTGATACCTCTATGTATTGTCTCTTTAGTGGCGAAATCTAAAATATGTTAAGTTAACAGATAAAATAAGCATTCGAGCCGGCATTTGTAAGCATGTATTGCCAGATTTGAAATTAAATAGGCAATTTGTCGCTCCGCGTTAAAAAATAAAATATATGACAGCATTCCCAACGTGTGGGAATAGTATTTAATAAATCAAGAAACTGATGCCACCGCAGATTATGTAACTCAATTACAAAAAATATTTAACATGTCACAATATTTGAACAACCAACCTTTTATAAGTATAAATAATAGTAGTAGCATACCTAAACATTTGAAGAATGTTGCCGAGCTAATTCTGGCACCCAATCTAAAATAACAATCGGCTTTTGCTTATCAAAGTCAAGGATCACTCTTAAATTGTTCTCAAAAGTTGCAGTGGTTGTTATGGTCGGCAGAAAGATCGATAGGCGAGGGATGGGGGACCATCTTCAGAAAAATGGAGAAGAAAAAAAAAAGAAAAAAAGAGGAAGAAAGGACCGCATGCGCATGCGCTGAGAAAATAAGGATTTAAAAAGAAATTCAAATAAATTAGTTGTGAAAGAATTATGAAGTAATTATGTTTAAGTAAAATAATGTAAAATAAGAAAAGAAAAAAACATAAATATTTTGTAAGCTTTAAATTAAGTAGATAGATAAAATTGTATTAAATATATATAAGCGAATTTAGTGTTGGCCAACAAAATGTTAGGGATCACGATGTCACATGTATCACATGAGTTCTAAATTAAATAGTCTAAAAAAATTAACATGAGGTGGTAAATTAATATGATTGGGTGAGATGAGGGCATAAGAAACAAACAAGAAAGGAATAATTGTGAAAGGGAATTTCTCCAGGAAATGTAGAGGAGGAATCACTAGGATGGGAGGGACACGCAGGCTGTACAACATCCACACAGCCAACACAGCAGCGAGCGGACTGGTTTGATGGAAATATTTGTTTTTTTTTTTTATAAAAGAATACAAATTTTTTGTTAAGTCGCCGCCCAATATATCGCGGTCGAACTACCCCTGAACCGATAGCTAGCCGGCTGAGCGATATATTGGTGCTTTCGGCAGGCAAGGCATAACATGGTGTCTGTTAACACGTAGCAGCAACAAATAGATAGACAAACATTTTTTGCATTTGCTGCCCTGCTTAGTTTTGCTATAAAAAAATATACACTTATTCTACTGTATTTATTGATTTTGCTTGACGCAATTTTAAGAACTTGTATATATGCATAAGCCACATGAAAGCATTTCGTAAATCATAAGATAGACATACATATACATACATGTACATATATTCTTTATCAGCATGGAATGCAAACTTGATCCTGCCGATTTGGTCAAAGAACATCTTTCAATTGTCATTAGTAGTGAAAGTGAAGCTTAGATGGTCCGTGAGCCGGAGAAAAGGCCGAGCCACGTTGCCGCTGAAGTGGATCAGAAGCTAAAAAGAAAAATAGAATTTGATAATTAGTTTACCGGCCAATTAAAATTTCTTAAAAATAGCATACGTGGAAATGGGGTTTACAAAGTACGTCGAGTTTTCGAGTCGCGATCCGTGCATTACTGTTTAGTGATTGTCAACGTTGTCCGACTTTGTGAACGGGCGCAGCCAATAGAATTAATTAATATTTCAGAATAGAGAGCAACAATTGTAGGGGAGCTGGAACGATAAAGGAGTTTTTTAGCGTGTGATATTAAATTATTTTCGTTTCTTGTTGTATGGATTGTTACCTCTAGGCGTCATACGGTGTTACCCTCATCTCACCCATCTTAATGTTTAAATTGTATTTTCGAGAGTGCTGAGTTTGAATTTTGAGTATTAGTTTTTTGTAATAATTCGATTCCCAGGGATAGCTTAGTTGTCAACATTATTGTTACAATACAATTTTGGACTTAGAGATTAGGTTAGTCAAATATTTATTATAGGTTACATATAATTGTTTCTGAGTTATTTATTGGTTGTTGGTATATTTATTGAATATTTATTTATTTATTTATTTAATACATGTATAGATTTAATCAATGTTTATTGAGTAAGTGGTTATATGTTGCTTATTTAATAATATAATAATTTATTTTTCCACTGGAGATTGAGTAGAAGTACAGATAATTATTTTCCGTAGACATATTTATGCATATGAAGTAAATTAAATATTTATACGTTTTGTTTGTTGCATGTTGAAATATATATAAAGTTAATAGTTACATGAGCGATGGGGTATTCAGGCAATCGAGGAAAGTGCGGCGTAGCGGGAACTTGCAGAGAGATAGAGAGCAAGAGAAAATGCGTCCAGCTACCCGTGCACAAAATACCAAACCCACCGAAGAAATGGAGAGTACTTCTCATCCAGTCGGAATGCGCAGCCGAGAAGATGTAGCGAGTACCTCGTCATCAACGCAACAAACCAGGAGTGAAGTGGAGCTACCCAGTGAGCTGAAGTCGGCTATTAATGTAGCGGTAGCCCAAGCGCATGAGACCTACAGGGCATCGCTGTCCCAGGAAATGAGCGCTTTTAAAGAGACAATGGAGGCCAGCATATTAAGTTTCATGCGGGAAATCAACGAAGTGGTCTCATCCCTGAAAGTGGACAAAGGAAGAAGCGATTCAAGTTCACAAGAAGCGAGAGAGGCGAGAATTAATCGATCACCTGCACCTACTCACTTTTTCATGGATAATCGAGCGTTGGAATCAGAACAACAGAAACAAGCCGAACAACAACAAGTTCCCGTATCGTGCTAGATGCAAAAAACGAGTAATGATAGTGGACACTATCAAAGAAACCGCACGAGCATCGGGGATACGAGGCAGGACAGTAGTCACATCCGAAGGTGGGGCCTGATCTTCGATGGAGACAGCAGCAGTTCCAAATAAGGCGATCTGAATTTGAGAGAACAGAACTGAGAGAACGTAAGCAACGGCATGGAGAAAGCACGGATGAATACATTCAGGCCATTTTGGTGCTAAGATCGCGGCAATCCAGCTGTTTCTCGGACTACGACTTAATCAAAGTGATTAAAATGAATGTCCGAGATCAGCTATCAAGGATAATTTACCCGATGCCGATAGCCAATCTCCAGAAACACGATGGGCTAGAACGTCAGCGAGTCAAGACTATGCTCGGTCCCGAGAACAAGCAAGGGTACACGAGATAGCTGCGACGGAACAGGATCCAGGGAGCGAGCCACCAGAAACTCTAGAAGCTATTTATCGACCGAAGGAGCCGGGAGATCGTTCAAGCCTAACCTGCTGGAATTGCAAGCAGATAGGACATACATTCTTTGAATGTGAGGCACCAATAAGGAACATATTTTGCTATAAATGTGGACATTCCGGCGTAGTGTTGCCCAAATGCCCAAAGTGTCGACCGGGAAACACGGGTCGGAACACGATACAAGCGGAGGAGTCGCGTTCCAATTCGGCCAAAAGCAATCACCTCCCATAGACACCGTCTCGGTTAGTAATTATAAACTTGTAAGTAAGGATAAGGAAATAATTAATATTATTGCAAAAGTTAATCAAATAAACCATAGTATTGACTTACCAAACACCAGATGGTCAAAACGTAAATCCCTAGAGCAGAGACAATCGGAGTATGCTCAAGCGAAGGAGAGAATATTTAAAGATGCAGGTCAGGAGATGAGTGGGAAGACACGCTATAAAGTTCAGCGAGCACGATCAACATTCCAACAACGAAAGGCGAGACGAAACAGTTTGTGTGCAGCCATAAGATCGGCGATGCGCACCGATAGCAGGCCGTTCGCCAAGGTATGGATCGGTCACAAGGAACTCAATGGGCTGTTAGACACAGGGGCTTCAGTGAGTTTGCTGGAACACGGTGGTGCTGATCTGAAAAGCACGAAATTCGACTTTTCAAGGATACAGTACCGGTGAAAGAACGCTTCTATCCAGTTTCCCCAGCGATACAGGAATTACTCTTTGCTGAGGTTGACGAGATGTTACGGCTACGAGTCATAGAGCTTAGTGAGAGTCCATCGAATAACAGAGTAACGCTTGTTCGAAAGCCAGGAAAAATCGTCTCTGTCTGGATGCTCGCAAGCTGAATAAGGCGACAATCAAGGATGCGTATCCACTGCAGTGCATCGAGTCGATCCTTAGCCGAGTAGAAGATACGGTTTTCATCAGCAGTATCGACCTAAAACATGCCTTTTGGCAGATTGAACTGGAGGCAGAAAGTAGACCGTATACAGCCTTCACCATACCCGGGAGACCACCGTATCAGTTCAAATCTATGCCGTTTGGTCTTTGCAATGCAGCGCAACGACTTTGCCGTCTAATGGACAAGGTGATTCCACAAAGGCTCCGAAGTCATGTTTTCGTTTATCTAGATGATCTGCTAGTGATTTCGCGAACATTTGAAGAACATTGCCATCAAACTTAACAATCGGTATAAAGAAATCCAAGTTTTGCTATAAATATTTAAAATATCTGGGATATGTAGTTGGCGATGGTGCGGAGATACCCGTTCCGAAAAGTTTACGTCAGCTACGTCGGTTTTTATGTACCGCTGGATGGTATCGCCGCTTCATCCGGAATTTTTCAGCCTTATCTGCACCGCTTACGGATTGCCTGAAAGAAAAGGTCAGTTTAAAATGATAGAGATCGCGCTGGAAGCTTTCACAAAGTTTAAAAAGGCACTCACCAGTGCACCACTTTTGATCCATCCCGACTTTAAGAAGCCATTTTTTATACAGTGCGATGCCAGTCACATAGGTATTGGAGCCGTCCTATTCCAGCTCGACGAGGAGAACGCCAGATCGAGCATAGAAAGGGTGGAGATAACGTAGTTGCCGACATGCTCTCTCGTCCTTTCGATGCAGAGGAGGCTGACTTCTTTCAATTCGAAACGACCGCCTTTGAGGAACAGACATACCTAGATCGTATCAAGCTGATACAGCAGAACGAGGAAAAGTTTCCTGATTTGCGTGTGGAGGATGGATTATTGTTTAAAAAAACACAATTTATTCAGCCAGATATGGAAGAGTTCCATTGGAAACTATGGATTCCAGAAGCACTAACGGACACACTGATTAAAGAGGCACATGAAGGCGACGCGAACATGCATGGTGGATGCGCAAGGACCATAGGTAGGCTCAAACAAATGTATTTCTGGCCGAGAATGGCAATGCAAGTGAAGGCTTACATTGCGAACTGCGACACGTGTAAGGAGACCAAACACTCGACGCAGACGAATAGACCAGCCATGGGAGGAGAGACAATGACGGATAGACCCATGCAAAAACTATATATGGATTTTTTGGGACCATACCCAAGGTCGCGAAGTGGTAATGTGGTTATTCTGGTAGTCATTGATCATATGTCAAAGTTCATTTGGTTGAAAGCAATGCTTAAAGCGACGGCAAAAGCGGTGATCCGATTTCTGCACAGCGAGATATTTTCCATGTTTGGGGTTCCAGAAATCGTTAATACGGATAACGGCAGACAGTTCACTTCAGAGGAGCTTACAAATTTCCTAAGTGAGCGAGACATAACCCACATTCGATCTAGAAATTACGCACCACAGACAAACGCAGCGGAAAGGGTCAACCAAACTATCCTAGCGGCGATAAGGACATATGTTGGAGGCGACCACACACGTTGGGACGAGAGACTGCCCGACATCCAAGGTGCGGCCCGAAGCGCTATACACCATATCATTGGAATCTCGTCATACTTTGTGCTGTTTGGACAGCATATGTTTACAAGCGGAAAGGATTACAAACTCGCTCGCAAACTAGGAGCCTTTTCGGATGCCGAAGTCCAACATCTTTCCAGACAGGACCGGCAACAAATCACCCGGCAGGAAGTCCAGAAGAATCTGCATAGAGCATATGAGAGAGCGGCTAAGACTTATAATTTAAAAACGCGGGAAATCCACTATGTCTCAGGGCAAGAAGTTTTCAAACGGAACTTCGTGCCAAGTGATTTCAAGAATCGGATTAATGCCAAGTTTTGTCCGAAGTACGTCAAATATCGAGTCGTTAAACCAATTGGAAACAGTCTCTACAAGCTGGAATCAGGATTGGGGTATTCCATGCAAAGGACTTGAAACAATAGCAGTGTAAGCCCGGCTAGCTCAGTCGGTAGAGCATGGGACTCTTAATCCCAGGGTGTGGGCGATGGCCTACGTTGGACAAATATAGCACTCCTGTTTCTCTGAAATGAACCTCGAAACCGTAGCGTGGTGTTATGGTCGGCAGAAAGATCTATAGGCGAGGGATATCGATGGGGGACCATCTTCAGAAAAATAGGGGAAAAGAAAAAAAAAAGAAAAAAAAAGAAGAAGAAGGATTTAAAAAGAAATTCCAATAAGTTAGTTATGAAAAAATTATGAATTAATTATATATAAAGTAAAATAATGTAAAATAAATAAATATAAAACAAAAGTAAAAATAATAAATAAAATAAAAACATACAAACATACAGACCAGCGGCAGCAACAGGCGGAACTATTCATCGCCACCATCAAGGAGGAAATTGGACAACTGGACTCAGGAACCAAGAAATCAAAGCCCGGAGACCGTGAGACGACTCGGATTGTATCAACACATCTGTGAGTTTGTTCCCGCCTAATTGCGGCAGAGTGAGCCAAAGACAGCTGAGCGGCCCTAACCAATGCAATAGTGATGCTCATTTTGTCAATCAGTGATGCGCACTTTTGAAGCCAAATAATAGAAAAGAAAAAAACATAAATATTTTGTAAGCTTTAAATTAAGTAGATAGATAAAATTGTATTAAATATATATAAGCGAATTTAGTTTTGGCCAACAAAATGTTAGGGATCACGATGTCACATGTATCACATGAGTTCTAAATTAAATAGTCTAAAAAAATTAACATGAGGTGGTAAATTAATATGATTGGGTGAGATGAGGGCATAAGAAACAAACAAGAAAGGAATAATTGTGAAAGGGAATTTGTCCAGGAAATGTAGAGGAGGAATCACTAAGATGGGAGGGACACGCAGGCTGTACAACATCCACACAAGCAACACAGCAGCGAGCGGACTGGTTTGATGGAAATATTTTTTTTTTTTTTTTTTATAAAAGAATACAAATTTTTTGTTAACTTGCCGCCCAATATATCGCGGTCGAACTACCCCTGAACCGATAGCTAGCCGGCTGAGCGATATATTGGTGCTTTCGGCAGGCAAGGCATAACATGGTGTCTGTTAACACGTAGCAGCAACAAATAGATAGACAAACATTTTTTGCATTTGCTGCCCTGCTTAGTTTTGCTATAAAAAAATATACACTTATTCTACTGTATTTATTGATTTTGCTTGACGCAATTTTAAGAACTTGTATATATGCATAAGCCACATGAAAGCATTTCGTAAATCATAAGATAGACATACATATACATACATGTACATATATTCTTTATCAGCATGGAATGCAAACTTGATCCTGCCGTCTGTAAGTCGCTGCGCCTTTTCTAATTGTATAAAATTACAAACTAACAAAAACAGCTGTTGACCATTCTAAATATTCTAAATACTAAAAATACCACAAGACAATAAATTAAGTCAAAATAAAAATATGCTCCGTTGTATAATTTAATGGACAGTTAAAAAAGATGAAATTCTACTGATAATGCCACTGTGGGATATTTATGAATTTAATATTAAATAAAAAATTATAAATTAATTATTTTATTTGTCATTGAATAGTACCATTTATAATATTAAATAAATATATATTTTGTTATGGTCGGCAGAAAGATCGATAGGCGAGGGATATCGATGGGGGACCATCTTCAGAAAAATAGGGAAGAAAAAAGTGAGAGGGAAAAAAAGGAAAGAAAAAAAGAGGAAGGAGGGACCGCATGCGCATGCGCTGCAGAAAATAATTATTTAAAAAAGAAATTTGAATGAATTGATTATGAAGTAATTATATATCAAATAAAATAACATAAAATAAATAAATATAAAACAAAAGTAAAAATAATAAATAAAATAAAAACATACGAACATACCAACCGGCGGCAGCAACAGGCGGAGCTATCAATCGCCACCATCAAGGAGAAAATCGCCAGGGACAACTGGACCCAGGAACCTGGAAGTCGAAACCCGGAGTCCCGGAGACACTTCGGATTAAATCAAATCACCTGTGAGTTTGTTCCCGCCTAATTGCGGCAGAGTGAGCCAAAGACAGCTGATCGGCCCAAACCCACGCAAAAGTGATGCTCATTTTGTCACTCAGTGATGCGCACTTTTGAAGCCAAATAAAAAAAGAAAAATAAATATTTTATATGCTTTAAATTAAGTAGATAGGTGAACTTGTATTAAATATATATAAGCGAATTTAGTGTTGGCCAACAAAATGTTAGGGATCACGATGTCACATGTATCATATGAGTTGTAAATTAAATAGTCTAAAAAAAGAAACATGATGTGGTAAATTAATGTGATTGGGTGAGATGAGGGCATAAGAAACAAACGAGAAAGGAATAATTGTGAAAGGGAATTTCTCCAGGAAATTTAGAGGAGGAATCACTAGGAAGGGAGGGATACACAGGCTGTACAACATCCACACAGCCAACACAGCAGCGACTTTGCCGCCCAATATATCGCGGTCGAACTACCCCTGAACCGATAGCTAGCCGGCTGAGCGATATATTGGTGCTTTCGACAGGCAAGGCATAACAATTTCTTACATAAAATATGTAAGAAAAATCGATAACGCTGTTCACGGAAGCAACTCTGAATTTTCGTGCATGGCTGCATGCTAAATGCTATAAAATTGCGCGGTCTTTTTTAATATAGTTTCTGAAGGCAGAAATTTAGTTTAAAAACCAGTTTCCACACGCTGGAAATGCTGCCATATATATATATATATATATATATATATTTTTTTTTTTACGCAAAGCGCAGAATTTCACTCAAAATTAGACGACAAATTATTGATGCGGCTGCATTCTTAATGCATGGAAAAGTCAAGAGGAAACAAAAAATAAATTTAAGTGGAGAAGTCAGTAGGTGCGGTAATGGATTGCTCAGAGGGAGGTTAATGTATAATAGAAAATAATATAGTATAATTAACATTTGTATATTTGAACAACATTAAAGATCATATTCGCTCAAATTTGTAAGTGTAAATTTAACAAATTTATTTTCTTTTCCATACAAACAGCCGTCTCTAGCTGGTCATTGGCTAGCAGCTTGCCATTCAAAGTTTTGCGGCGTGATGTTGCTAGACATATTCAACAGAAGCAAATAGTATCTGGCAGGATTGCTTTCACGTCCCTTTGACAAAGCATCTGGCAGGTGCTCTATTGGCAAATATTCGCCAGTGTGGCCAGCTATGTAAGCTCACCTTAACTGTTACAGCTTAACTCGTACAGTTTAAAATAGACTGAAGTTCAAGAGTGTATGGCAATAAGGGCTCATATTGTTTGAGTAGTTTGCGAAAAATTGGGAGAATTGGTGACTGAGCCAGCTGCCAACGTTGCTGCTGCTTTTGCTGCCGACGCTCTGCCAGCGTCAGCCAACGTATATATTTGTGGCCGGCTGAAAGCAAAAAAAATGTCAGTCGAACTTTAACGGCGCTAGCTATCAGACGCGTTTCACTTGCTCTCTCTCTTGCTCTCTATCCGTCTCTGTCACTTTTGAAATTCGAAAAGCATTGCTCGAAAGTAAGAAGCCAATCGCCAAAAATATTCAAGACGCTTCCTTAAAGTTATTGTTGAGTCGCTCTCATTCCCTTTTACACTACCATTCCCATTGTCCACTGTTGCCTTGTGTGCGGTGCGTGTGCGGAGCGTGCTAATGAACAACTGCCCCAATGCGTGGGCGCAAAGAGAAACTTTTTTTTTCTGTTCGACGCTTAAGAATTTTTGATGCTACTGTGTGTGCTTGTTTTTAATTATTGTTTGTTGTAGTGCTATTTTACTGGTTTTTTTTTATGACAGAAAGTGTATATGTGAAGAAATTGAAGCCCGGCAAGAGCGCACATTGATTGAAAAAAGCTGATTATATTTTATGCAAATTTTTATTGCAGTTGTCATCGCAGACGTCTTCGACAGCGACAGCACCAGTGAGAGTAACAAAAACGACGGCAGTAGAAAGCAGTTGAAACTTCCAGGTAATTTTGAGTTGATTGTTACTTAATATAGCTTATTATCTCTGCACGCCTGTGAAGATCAAGGCATCCTGGTAGTGGCCGTGGCAGTGGCAAGGTCGTCGTCTACGCAGCAGCAGCACTTGCCACTGCCAAGGTGAAGGTCAATGCAAGCGTCGTCGGCATGCAGTTTATTTGTTGTTATATAAACGAGTCTGCTAACCAACCACACACACAGGCACACACACACATGTGTACTACCAACCCAGTAAGCAAGTGCGCATGTCTTCAATGTCGGAATCGACGTCAGCGCCGACATCACACCCTCTCCACAGCATGTCCTTTCTGCTTTGCTTTCTCTCTGCAGACTTCGCTTCTGTCTCATGGTCATCGATGCAGCAGTCACAACATTGAACTTGACAGCCACTTCAATGAGACATGCACACACGCAGCAAGAGTGGAAGAAAGATGGGTGAATAGAGAGAAAAAAACAAACAGTAACAAGGTTAGTGGGTTAACTTTGACTTGGTTGTCGGTCTCTAGTTTCTTTCTCCTAGTACGCGCTTCTCGCTGCTTGCTGCGGCGGCCGGATTTAAAAACTTGTTATTATCAAGTGCTCTACTGTGCGCTTGATCGTCGCTTACTTTTCGTATTTCTACTGCCCCCCGCCTTCACAGAGAGAACTTTGGAGTGCATTAAAAGCCACTTCTTCCTATGATTTTTTATTTCAACTGCGCTGCATGTTTGGTTGAGTGGGGGGCAGAGTGCAATCAAAATAAGAATCAAAACAAAAACCATCGGTTTCAATTGCAAAGCAGCCAATAAAAATCTTTTTACATGACATTTGTGTTAAAAGTGGCACAGGTGAAATTAAGTGTCTTTCTGTGTTTGGTTAAACAAGTCTCAGTGGGTTAACTGCATACAGTTAAGATTGCGTCCATTTTGTCACTTGGTAGCTCTACATAAAACCAAAAAAAATTAGGATGTATATCCAAGATTCATATTATCTCGTGAGAAGTTCAATATTACTTCGTATTCTAAACCTTTTTTCGATCACTGTACTAAGCACGAAATATTAAAAACTGTTCATTGATTATTTCTATTTTATTTTATTCTATTTTTTTTTAATATTATTTTCTTAATAGGTACATATATGTTTTTTATGTAGAAGATCTGTCCGTTAAATTAAATAAGCTAGAGTGTTAAAGATTTTTCTAGTTTTAACAGGCACCGTAAAGATTTCAGGGTTTCCACTATAAGAAATTCAACCAATATTTGGTAATGATATTCTTACTTTATTGGGTCAGAGACGTCGCCTTCAATGCGTAATTATAATAAAATCAGTGGGAAAATGAAAACTTTACAGTTACATGACATGTGAATTGCCTTAAAGTAAATATTGAATGCAGACATCAATACATATTCATAAAATCACGTAGTATTTCAGATATAACTGGAATAAATCGTCATGGTTTTGTTGATTACAGACTACTAATCAAGAATATATAGGTATATGTACAAATGCATATGCTTTATCCAACCAAATTCAAATACCTCCTAAGCAAGGTGATATAAAGAGCTTGTCAATTGTTTGTTCCTGCAACCAGTCTGTGCTTCTTCGTCAGCCAGTTTGTGCTTCTATGGAAATCGAGTGCGCACATTGACATTATAGTCATAACGGCATTTGCCGATAAGTAACTAACTAAAAATAGTTCATTTTACTTTGTGCTCCGTCCTAAGTTCGATGACTTAGCACACGCACCGCAAATGCATGTAAAGCCGCATTTTACACTTGACTGAGATTCGAATGAAAGATTGACTGACGTACGCTCATTGCGCGAAATACGGAGGAGCAATGACTGATTACCGTTGGAGGGAGGGTGGAAAAAACTCCAAACTGGCGACGACGAAGCAAGCATTTAAATGTTAGAGACAAGCTTAGCTCAACTTCCACGGACCGAAAAAGGGGTGGTGCCTGTTTAAGTGGTTTGTGCTGCCTAAAAAAAAAACCAAGCAAAACAAATGAAAAAAAATAAATAAATAAACGGAAAATTACAGAAAAAATGAGCTAGTTTTTTGTTTTCACTTTCTCTGCCGCCGCACACAATTTGTGGTCAGCAGGTATACATATATGATGGAATCGGTGGTCGCCAGTTATTTTTGTTGTTGGTGGTGTTGGTGTTTATTCTGGTCTCATTACCGTGTGTCCGGGTCAAAGGGGTGGGTTAATGAGTGAAGCTCTCCATAGTCACACTCGGTTCAATTCAGACACTGTAGTCAAATATTCAAAATAAGAACATCCTGTTAGTTTATACTCTGTATCGCAAAGGGAATGTCTACCTACCTGCTTGACTGTTTGTATACCAAACGGCGTTATACAAACTATTCAACTTTGTTTGCCACGTTCACTTTGAATTGCACACACATTTTTTGTATTCCGCGTTGTTTTGAAAGTGAATTCATTCCGTTTCGAACATATTTATTTATTATAAAAGCTTATAAAATTATTTTAGTTTATTATTATTATTATTATTATTATTATTATTTTTATAAAATATTTTAGTTTAGAATAAAGAGTAGGATCTGAAGGATGCAGAGCAAGGGATGAGAAAGGATGAGCTCTAAAGTTTAATCACACCCAAAAATATTTATATTATCAGATAATAGCCTTAAAATCGCTTGCTTTAAGGCACAGTTTCAGATTAAGCAAATTTGTGAGCCAGAAACTACTTTTCATAGGTTATTAGTCTCAAATTAATATGTTGCTTTAACTTAAATTAAAATTTGCAAATATTCTTGACTCCACTTTTAATAAGATTTATACTTTCGAATTTGGATCAAATATATATTTTTCTCTCTGTGAACATTTTAAATCCCTTTAAGAAAAACAATTTTTATTATGGGATGTCTTATGACTTGCTAAAATACGTGAACAGAAATAGAATTAACTCCACCTGACACTATACTGGAACCAATACTTCAGTGTCATTATATTTAATTCGATATTTCCTTTAGAACTACTTGGACTGTTTTTCAAGCATCTTTCAGTTGGGTGGCACCAAGTTGGCATTGCTCCGTATCCACCTGCTCAGAGTGGCAACGCTCTCATAGCCGTCGGGGGCTTCGCGTCCACAGCCACCCAAGACAAAGCTGGCTACACCAATAAGGCGATTCTGGTAGACAGCCGGTCCGCCAGAGTCGCCATGGCAGGCACCCAGATTGGCGCCATGCATCAAGCAGATGGTAGTCTCGGGCAGTCGGGTCATGTAGCGGCTGGTGCACTGGGCACGGGAGATGCTGCGCACCTGCACATAGAGCAGCTCCCTAGAGATTGGACCACCGTGGGATATGGCGCCCCATCCAGAGATAGTCACTGTTGAATTCACGGGCGGATCCTTCTCGGCCAGCTCAATGGCACCGACATTTGCATTGAATCGGAGCTTCTGCTTCAGACGCAGCACGGCAATGTCGAAGCCATGACCTCCGTTACGGTATTGCGGATGCACCTGAACATCAGTGACATCTACATACGTTTCGAAGCTATTGAGCACCAGGCTACCCACCTGCACCGCCAGCCTCAATGGGGATACGCTGTAAGATTAGAGGAGGGAAGGAACGAGGGAGTACAAATTTAATCGGCTGAGAACTGCGGGTAGTTCTTGAGCGAAACTACACTCAGAAAAAATTCACCTTGCATATTATGAAAATGCAGAAAGCTTTTCTGGATTCTAGAAAAAATATCTAAATTTTAAATGCAAAGCGATAAGACCACATATCTCTCACAATTTTTAAACTAGAGTACCCAAATTTGAAGGGTTGATTGCTGTTGATTTGCGGCACAGATCATTTCGGCCACGCCCCGCACCTACAACAACAATGACATTATATCTTCCACAGTGTTAGAGTAACCACATTTTCAAAGTGCATTCAAAAATAAAAGTCCTGATTTTTAGAAAGACACAACCTTCCAAATGAGCTGCACGCGTCTTTTTAAATTTCAGATCGATTCTTTTCCTCAATATACTCACACATTATGACCGAACTTAACGCAGTGCGCCGCAGTCAGCACATAGCTAGGCGATATAATCGATGCACCGCAAATGTGGCTGCCATAGTAACGCAGCGACACTTGATGCGGGAACTGACCCGCCTGCGCCCGTCTTCCGCCCACAATTCGAGGTCCTATTGAGATCACCGGGGCAGTTGTTGTTGTTGTAGTCACATCCTGCTGCTTACAATTTGTCAATATGCCGCTAAGCAGCAGTATCAATAGTTTCGCTAGTAGATCCATCGGGTGTTTGTAGCCAACTCTTAAGCGCAGCACCCTTTTATGTTAGTCAGATCGATCATCATCATCAGTAGCAGTCCCTTCATATGTCAAAGTTGATAAACAAACAAAAAAAAAAGCAAATACCTTTATGTGAGTTTACGCTTATCAGTGTCGTAAATGACGGCACCTTAATTACCCAAAAAGACGTCGAGTCAAGAAGCGGACGCGTGCTCATAACCCATCCCGATTGTATTACTTACACACATATACGCATATACAGTAATAGTTATCGGTAACCTCAGTAGTTGAGCTTTGATAACAGTATAACCGGGAGCTTAATCCCCTTCATAATTCCCAATTTAACTCATCTTCATTCTTAAGTTTATAACAACGATTCTAATTTGATCAATATTGAAGTAAACAAATGATTATAAAATCTTAGATTTAATTAAAGTAAGATCACTAATTTTCAACTTCAAACTGAGTGAAAAGCTTGAAGGTATGTTTTGCTATAGTCATTTAGCATAGATAGATAGAGTTAATTGACTGTTAAATTAATAACACTTGATCACACTAATATTAAAAACATCGGGCACAGATATAATGTATTAGATATACATAAAAATCAATTATTAATTTGATTGCAATTATTATTTATTCTTGTTTACAAATTGGCATGCTTGATAATCGCGATGATAGAAGACCTTTGCATAGCCATCGGGATTGGACGAGCCACAGCCATCGACGACGAAGCCGGCAACGCCTACTAGCTCGTTATTGAAGATCGCCGGACCGCCAGAGTCGCCATAGCAGGCACCGTTACCCATCTCATGGGCCAGGCAGAGCATGTTATCCCTGTTCACAAAAATAGAGGTGCCGCAGCTCAACTTCGATATGGATTTGAGTGTGTTCCACTGCATTTCGCGGGGCACATCGCCCTCAGTCTTTAGCCGACCCCAGCCCGAAATAATTACCTGGCAGCCAACAGGTGTCTCCACACTGGCCAGCGGTATGGTACCAATCTGATTGGAGAAGACAAGTGGCTTCTCCAGCTTTAGCAGAGCCACATCATTCCAAAAACTGGTGTATTTCTCATGCACATACACAGTGGCCACATTGATAAGCACTCCTCACATAAAACGATCCAAAGTGCCCGCCCGAATGCTTAGCATTTCCGCCGGAGTGCTGTCCATAGAAAAAATTGAAATTATGATTGGGCATACTTAGTATAAATATAAATATAGTAAAGTTGAGCTAATTGTTAGCAGTGTCAGTTGTCTGTTCGCAATTTAAATATTATGAAAGGAATAAATTAATTTACGTCCCTTTTTTATATAGTCAAGTTTCAAACTCCACAGCTAACTGAACGAGCGCTGTGAATCTCTATCTAAAGACTAATACCGACGGGATTCGTGATAGATTGGAGTATATACAAGTAATAAAAAAAAAAAATATATATATATATACATATATATATATATATATATATATATATATATATACATAAATATTCATATTTGTTTTGCGCCATTAATCAAGATATTTCTTGTATTTCATATGTAGTTGAAGTAATCTGAGAAATAAAACGTTTTACTTGTGTCAATTTACTTTTTAAAAAAATCTAGACGATTCGTACTTGTAATTTAGAAAGCCAACCTAATTTATTTAAGACAAATATATTTTTAATTTACTTACTCGACGATCGAACCATCTTCCGACTGTTCCGTGACACAACACACACACATGGGCCGCCGTTAGAATATAATCGTGTGAGATAATAGAGCCACCACAGATATGGGTGGCAGTGGCAGTGAATCTGATGCGGAAACTGTCCACTTGTGGCATCGACACCTCCAACCACGCGGCCCTCCAGCAATTCTGGGGCAGCCGAGATCACCGTTACTGCAGCGCAGACAAAGATCAGAGTTCTCAACATGGCAGCGTTGTTAGCAAGTGGTTGGCACAATTGGAAAGATTGGGCAATTTAACCTGTCAAGCACTAGGGAAGGCTGTCCACACGTTTATATCTTATCTATATCTCAATTGAGCTGCGATTTATGTTCCACGAGTGCAAGTCGTTCAATTCCATTGAAGTGCGATTGAGTGAAAAATAAAATTTGCTAATTCGCCATCCGCCATCATAAATTGGTATTATTATCTAACCGGTTGGCTCTTATGGCACTCACTACAATTCTGAATTGTTAGGAGTAAAATCTTATCAGTCTGCAAACTGTCCAAATCAGTTGCAATAAATTGTAAGTTGATTTGAGACATAACCTTGCTTGTACTTACCAATTATGGCATTCCCGACATAATTTGTATTTGTATCAATACCATAATAAAATCCAAAATCCAAAAATATTTTAGCTCAGATTGACTAAGAAAAAGTAAATACCCATCCTATATATATTAGACATGTTGGCCTTATCAAATTTACTATAGGAACAAAACGAAACGAACATGTAGAAATGTTTATACTGACCTTTTTAAAAACGGGAAAAAGTAGATAAGGGGTATGAGGAAACATCTCCGACCCCATATGGTATACATATTCTTGCTCAGAATCAAAACCCGAATCGATTTAGCCATTTCCATCTGACATACAGGCAGTATGAACAAGTAATTCTCGTACACCATAGGCCGATCAAGCCTGTTTATTATTATCGAGAGCTGCCCCCGTTTCGCAAATAGAGAGCATTCTGTCTTGTTTTGTTCTAAGCTGACCAGAATTGGTCTAGAATATTTTAGATTATTTTCTTTTATTGAGCACATCAAATTTACCAGAGATCCCAAATGAATACAAAGATTGCGCCTCTAACTTATAGAACGTATTATCACCTACTCTACCACTATCTTCCATTCGGTTATTCCCTATTTAGCTGTTCGATTAAACAACGAGCTAATACTTGATAGGTTTTATAAATAAATATGAATTTAACTGATATGATTGCGATAAACTTTGTCATCAATCTGCACATACACGCATACGACACTTAGTAGAGTATATTTCACAAGAATCGTAAACATTTTGTATTAGCCTATGCAATGATTCACTACATAAATTTATAATTCGAGTAAACCGTGAATGAAGATAGTTATGAAGCCGATCAGAAACAACCATTAACTTTATTATCTAAGTCTTTGAAGGCGATCGCATGAAGAACAAAACAAAAAGTTCAAATTTTTCACCCAATCTCCGAATTTTGTTGGGCAAATTTTTCAAAGGAATCTATTGTTTTCAACAAAGGTTAATTGCATGGACTTGATCCCTTATCTGTCAGTCAGTTTGGCAACTCGATCCATTTTGTATTTATCAAGGTTCTTAACAATAACACCTCACCTTAATTGTAGCGCATATTGCGCATAGCCTTATCGGCTATAACGCATGCTTATCAGACTATGATCGAGTCGATCAAAATGAAAGCAAAACGAATATGTCCTTTGTATATATATTAAGATATACTATGTACATATTATTTTTGCTTTCCGGGGTTCAGAGCTAGTGTTGAAGCTGCTGCTGCAGCCAATCCGAGAAGCCGGCAGTGCGGACAAAGACATCCGGATAGCGTGAACCACAGGCGCCCACCACAAAGTTGCTAACGCCCAGAAGTTTGCCCTGATAAACGGCAGCACCGCCTCCATCGCCATAGCAGGTGCCCTCCTTGAGGGTATGGGTCAAACATACGCTTTTGGTCGCATCGTGTTCACTGTACGCATCCTGGCAAGCCGCATCCGTGGCTAGCTTCAAATTGAGCTGGCGTATCTTAAACGAAGACGTACCATCGACGGTGTGGCCCCAGCCAAAAACGCTGATTACAGTACCTTCTGCTGGCAGCGGATCGTTCTTATCGACTAGCTCAATTACCTTTATGCGGTCCGTAAAGACTAAGGGAGTCGTTAGCGTAATAATGGCCAGATTGTTGTCCAGTTTGTCATAATCCGGATGCGATGTAATGGAAGCAACGCTCACAATACGACCACCTGCATATTGATTGGTGCTGCCAACGCGACAGGTAATGCGACTAGGATCAATACTGTCAGGTAGAGAAATCATGAGAGAGAAAGTTAAAAGAGAGAGCGAGAGAGAGAGAGAGAGAGAGAAAAAAAGTGGACTTACAGTTTACCATTTCGATAGCAGCAATGGGCGGCGGTGAGAAGCTGCGTCTCGGACAGAATGCTAGCGCCGCACATGTGCACATTATCAATCCGGAGCGATGCCGCATAGGGTGCTGCATCGGCAAGCGCCTCTTCACCACCCCAAATGCGACCTTGCGGTGCAACCTCGCCAGCGATTGCCAGGCCAATCAATAGTAGAAGCAGCGATGCTCCCCACAACTGCCTTTGCATTATGATGTGCTTTCTTGATTCGCTTGTGTTGAGTAGATTGCGCCCAGTTCAAGTCGTTGTCGAATGCACAGCGCAAATGATGCGAAGTAAACATTCGATGTCTTTAGTCAATTTATAATTTTATTACGACTTCGACTTCTAATCTTATCGTCGTCAAAAGCCCATTTCAACTGTTTTTGTTATAGCAATAAATTTGCAATAGAGTGAAAGAGAGAGAGAGAGAGAGAGAAGAAACAATAAAAGTGGTATTTGTCGGCAGTATCATATCATAGGTATGTAGTAGTAACAATATTAAGCAATACAAAATTGACTCAATAGCAAATCAAACGGTTCAGTCATAAGTCATTTAATTATTTTCATACACTTCAAACTCCCTTAACCTGGGCAAAACTAAGCCAATTTCAAGGCTTAATACAATGTTAAGCATCTTCTGTAGATTGGTTGGACTTATAAACCTATAGTTTATATTCTATATTTTTTGATGTATACAAAAGTTTAAGTACAAAAATATAAGATTAATAGTATATGTATTTCAAGTATGATTCTGTACTTAAAATGGAACTTGAAAATACCGATTATTTTTTAAATATTTTTATAACATTTTTAATACAACCTTAACATGCTCAACAAATGTTCTTAAGTCTAACGCTTATAAATAACTTAATCAGATTGAAATTCAGAACTGCAACCGGAAAGTCAAAATATTTTTAACAATTACAATTTGCAATATAAACCATATCCATTTCATGCCTTTTATCTGATTAGAAGGACAATTCTTCACTTGTTTTTTATTTATAGGCAACCAAATAGATATTGACTCAATGACTCAAAAAAAACAGAACGCTGATTGAAATATGATAATATATTAATCTCTTGGGTCGTATGGTTGTCATAGTATTTAATCTAACGACAATAGCGTATCTCCCTCTCCCTCTAGCTTTCCCCCGAAACAAAAATTGAAATGGGCAAAAACATTCAATCAGGTGGTATCAATTCGAGTGTCTGGAAATACGCGGAACCTTTGCTCGCACTAATTTTGCAGTAAAACTGATGATATCTATAGACCATAGAGTACATACTTACATGTGTGCAAGGTAGACAATGCCTTTCGTTGCCTTCTGATAAGGCCAATTAGGACAAACAACTAGAATTTATGGTCGTTATATGGTCGTTATAAATTGGCAATAGAAATAATAACAGGTGGATCACATTTTGTGCTGTTGTTTTTTTTTTTTTTGTTACTCTTACACACTACTTGCAAAAGAAAAAAATATTTGAAAATCTAATAATTTAAAAAGCAGAAGGATTGAGGACTTTGGCTTTTTTTAGGGAACTCTTGATGGTATTTGTATAATTTTTGTATTTCTTTATTTCTTATTGGCCTCAATCCATGCCAGATAGTGAACGATACGAGTAGACACATCAGGATATTTAGTGCCGCAATCGCCCCAGAAGAAACTGACAACGCCCTGGATCACATTGTCGTCATCGACGACAGCGGCACCGTCGTCGCCGCGGCAAACGCCTTGCTTCTCGGCCCTTGCCAGGCATAGCGTGGAATCGTAGCCATAGCCAGCGTCAAGCTCACAGGGCCCTTTACCCAGCGTATTAAAGTTGGCCTTTTGTAGCTTGTAGTTGGAGGTGCCATCCGTCTGCTCACCCCAGCCTGCCACATAGACGGGTGTACCATTTGTTGGCACCTCTTCCACCTCACCCTCTTCAATGGGCGCTGGGAGCGCAATCTTGTTTATCTTTTCGCCAAAGGTAAGGGGTTCGCAGAGCGTGATTATTGCCAGATCGTGCAAAAAGTTTCCATACGAGGCATGAATGACCACCTCGCAAATGTCCACTAGATCGCCGCCAGCAAACTGATTAATGCTACCCACGCGAGCGGTTAGCTGTTTTGCCTCAACACTATAAAAAAGATAGGCAGAGATAGGAGAGAGACAGAGAGAAAGATGTAGCGTAAGTAATGAGCCAAGTTGAGTTTAAGCTTCAGAACTGATTCGCTCAATTTTACTTAAAAAAGCAATAAAGCTGGCTTAACTATACTAGCACAGCGTATATAGGATATAAAATGAATACCTTCAGCGAGAAAACTGGTTCGTTCAAATCGACAAAAGCGAAAATGAAAACATGAGCCAAGGTTTTGAGTGAGCTAATTAAAAAAAACCAAAGAAGTCGCCTCCAAACTATTTTGCTCAATTTAACTAATAAAGCAAAAAAAAAGCTTAGCTGCAGATGGCGCCCATCTTCGAAAATAAAGCTCCGTTGAACTCCCACTAATTAGGATTACTTACGGCTTGGCGCCCACATCAGACACACAGTGGCCAGCGGTTAACATTTGCATTTCGGATATAATGCTGGCCTGGCACACGTGCGCCTTATTGAGACGCAGGGATGCCACATAGGGGAATTCGGCCATCTTGGCATCCTCACCGCCCAGCAAACGACCCTGGGGCACGGCCAATGCCAGACCCAGTGTCAAAGCGAGACAAAGAGCTGCGAGCGACATGCGTTGTTCGATCATGTGTCGGAATGTTAACTAAAACTTCCAGCGACAATCACTGACTAAGTCACCAGTTACCAGTCATTATGGTTAGCATCTAATCTGCCAGCGTTGATAAGCGTTAAATATGACCTGGTCGCTAGCGATTAGATTTAGCGCTCATAAAATGTTGACGCCAGTATAAAAGTGTCAGGATCGAGGCCGTCATTGATTAGTTATCAATTAAACCATAATGCCAACAGTTCACATTGTATTCCTGCTGCTGCTCAGTGCAGCTGTTAACGGTGCCACAGCCCAGCCACAAGGTCGTCTACTGGAAGGAAAGGGTGCTGAGGTCGGTTCTCATCCGTACAGTGTTTCGGTGCAACGGAATGGCGCCCATGTCTGTGGTGGTGCCCTGATCAGTGCTAAGGTGTGCCTGACTGCCGCACATTGTGTAACCACTGGCGGTATTGAAAGGTAGCGCATGTTTATAGTCTCAAGTCCACATAATGGCTTAAACACACCTTCTTATAACTTCCCAACTCATCTACAGCTATCCGGCTCGCACTTTTCTTGTACGAGCGGGCAGTATTCAGCGTCTGGCTGGTGGCCAACTAGCGCAGGTCGATCACATTAAGGTGCACAAAGGCTATGCGAATGGATTGAATAATGTGGCGTTGATGGTATTGCAGCAGCCGCTAACACTTAATGCCAATACACAGCCCATTGCACTGGCCTCTGAAGTACCGCCGTCCGATGCCGAGATCATCTACACGGGATGGGGAGCCGTAAGCAATCAGGGTGCTTCCAGTCAACGAATGCTTGTGGGCAGCCGGAAGGCGATCAGTGCAGCTGACTGTCAAAAACAACTCTATGTAGATCACGAGGGACTCCTATGTCTGGTATCAGCATCAGAAACGATAGCAAATGGTATCTGTCATAATGATGCTGGTGCTCCGGCTGTCTACAAGAATGAGCTAGTCGGCATAGGCAGCTTCTTTGTAGATGTCTGCGGCAGTTTGAAGCCGAATGGTTTTATGAGTATTCCTTATTATAGAGGCTGGATCATTGAGAATATGTAATCAAGCTCTTGAATAAAGCATAACTCTGTAGGCCTTATATGTAGTAGCTTACTTTACCCAAAATGTAAAATTTTCGTCCACAAAAGGATTTTTTGTAAATAGCATTTTTGAGGGTACTCTGAAAAAAAACACGAAAAATTTAATGAAGATGTGTAAAGGCTCAAGAAGTATCTTCAGTCTCATAAATTACATTTATTCTTGATCAGCACCAAAAGCTAAGCTCATCTAGCTACGTCCGTCTGTATGAAAGTGCCGACTTCAATTAGTTATATCATTCCATAGATAACCATTTCCGATCTGTAAGTATCGATACAAATCGAATACCGATAGCAATAAGTCATATTTTTTCTACTAAATGGTAGCTCTTGTAAGTTTGCATAATATTGATCATCTGAAGAAGTTTATCAACTAAATATTGAGAAAAGCTGCAGGAAGTTGTGAATTTAAAATTAAAATAAATTTGTATATACAATAAAAGTTGGGGACAGTTTATCTGCTGGTTCACTCTCTCTCTCCCTCATAATCTTAAAATTTCAATATGTAATGCATGTGGATTTTTGTTGACAATAATCACAATTCAAGCGCATAACAATATAGTTGACTTGTGCGAATCAAAGTTTTGCTCTGCTATTTTATATACCAACTGTTGATATATATGTCATTCAAAATATGATATTATCTGTTCTCTCTGTTGGGCTTCTATACTTAGTGCTTCCTTGTTTTTGCTGTCTAAACCAAGGAAGATAACCCGTTTTTATTTTCTGGCATTTATTCTAGTTATATACAAAAAGCTTTACAGTTTTGAAGCTGTATTGATTAAACTTGACACAGATTCGGATCATCAGCGTACCATATCCAATACTTTCTAAAAAAATTACTTTATGTGACGCAGATCAGAATAATATACATGTGTATGTATGTAGAAGGATACTTTATCTTCGACATTCTCGATTTTTACAATTTTCTAAAGGTTATCATAGTAATTTTGAGATTAGATTAGAATATTATTTGTTTTCAGCAGTTTACTTGGGCTTGTCATATTGATAATTTGGCAACTTAAAAGGTTAGCAAAGAACACAACTTTATTTAACTGAACGTTTCTTAACCTAAATAGGTATGAATATATGTATTATATATTATATTATCTATAATATATAAATTGACTGTTATGAGTAAATAATCATAACCAATCTTAAGTATAGCTCTTAAAAACAGTGAAATTAAATATATCAACTAAAGCTATAGCTGTAAGTATAGCAAATACCACAATTTATATAGATTTATATAGAAAACAGGTTCCTCACATATTGCATGCGATTAGATTTATTCGTCATAAAAAGAAAACTGATTTGCGTGAACTGTTAATTAGGATAGGATGAAAAAAAGTTGGCTTATTCCATCTGCAGTTGGATCCACTCGTAGTTTGCAGCGATGCTGATAAAGCGTTCGGGCAACATGCTACCGCACTCCCCCAGCACTTCCGCGCCCAGACCTACCAGAGTGTCCCGGTAGACAGCGGGTCCGCCAATATCGCCGGCACAGATACCCTGGCGCCTCTGATGGCCCAAGCAGAGCACCTGATCGTTAACCGGCGCATCGCTGGCCTCTAAGCATTCACGTTCGGCCTCAACTATAGCGAGACCCACTTGCAGGGTGCGGTACATTTCCGTATCCGACTCCTTAGTGCGTCCCCAACCTGAGATATCGACGTAGGAGCCCACTGCTGGATTCTCTGTAGCCAAAGGCAAAGGGCCGACATCCATATTGAAGATTAGGGGCTCGCTCAGACGCAACAGAGCGATGCCAGTTTTCAGTTCATTATAGTTGGGATTCACTATGATCTCCTCGACGCGTATGCGCTGACCGCCATTATACAGATCCACGGTGCCGGCTGATACAATAAATAGCTGTGGTGGCCATCTATAAGTTGTTCTACGATTAGTCCGACGTTCCTATAATCACTTTCTGGCTACTTACGGCGTATCCTTGCCGGCGGAGCAGACACAGGTGAGAGCGGTTAACGCAAAGCGTTCGGCAATGATGACAGCACCACAATTGTAGCTGCCACCGATAGCGAGGGACGCCTGATAGGGCAACTGTCCTAGTGTGGCATCCTCACCGCCAGCGATGCGGCCTTGGGGCGAACTACTTGCCATGGTATAGCCAACAAAAGCAAAGCAGAGTATCACAAAAGCACCAGATAATTTCATTATTCCTTTTCTTTCTTTTAATGACCCGGAATGGTGTAAGAAGTTCGCTTTTATAGTCTCCGCCGAATATCATGAAGCTCAAATAGTATCTTTCCTTTTCATATAAAATTAAATTTATCTTATCTGTGCAATAAATGAGATAGGACTCATCCGGTATGGTCAGTGATTAGACAAGCCAAAAAGAAGAAGCTATCACTCAACCACTAATTTATTTATTGAAATTCAAGTTCAATTTGGGGCTAACTGCTGTCTCCACTCTACCATCGCCCCACACACGCACATACACACACACACAAATGCACAAATCAATGAACTTTGATTGCCTGCATTGAGGGGAAACATGTTTGTAGTTCGAATGGGTAAAAATACTGTTGGGAATTTGGAATTAGTTAGTTGGTTGGGGCCAATGCACTCACTCGGTTACTTACTCACTCACTCACTAACTCAGTCAATTCCTCACTCATTCATTGGCCAAATCGAAGCACGTACGAGTGCGGCCATTCGTTTTGGTCAGCCACAACTGGTTGTTGTGGTCAACAGCAAGAGCTCATCCATCTTTATCTGCTTATAATGACCAACTCACTGGATATTTTCGACATTTGCAGACTTGACGTCATCATCTACGGATCAGCTCGACTTACTACAATGATACTTCGAAATACGAATACTGTTGGCCAGTTGCTGCTGCTGTTTGTCTATGCTGGACGCACAATTTTCTCCAGCGCCAAGACGATCCCCAGCGAACAGCTGAAAATGGCACTACCAGAGCCACGGGCTTATCTACCAGACGCACAGAATCTCGACTTTGTTTATCATGATCACGAGGAGCTTACGCGATTTTTAAGGTAAGTTTCCTAACCCCCTGTCTATCAAGGCACATCAGGCATAATTTGTATTTCTTTTTGAAGAGCAACAAGTGCACGGTACCCAAATCTAACCGCTTTGTACTCGATTGGCAAGTCAATTCAAGGACGGGATCTGTGGGTGATGGTGGTCAGTTCGTCACCGTATGAGCATATGGTTGGCAAGCCGGATGTCAAATATGTGGGCAATATTCATGGCAATGAGCCCGTGGGCAGGGAAATGCTGCTCCATCTCATTCAGTATTTTGTGAGCAGCTATAATGCGGATCAGTATGTAAAATGGTTGCTGGATAATACGCGCATTCACATATTGCCTACCATGAATCCGGACGGCTATGCGGTGTCCAAGGAGGGTACCTGCGATGGTGGTCAGGGACGGTAAGGATATAAATGAATCGATCTCATTAACTATTCATTCCACTGCCTAACCCAACCATTTGCAGTTACAATGCGCGTGGCTTCGATTTGAATCGCAATTTTCCGGATTATTTCAAGCAGAACAATAAACGTGGACAGCCCGAAACAGATGCAGTCAAGGACTGGATATCAAAAATACAGTTTGTCCTTAGTGGCAGCCTGCATGGTGGCGCTTTAGTTGCCAGCTATCCCTACGACAATACGCCCAACTCCAGTAAGTAGTCTAAGTAGTGCGCCATAGATCCTTCCCGCAAAGGACAACAAAAGTTATTACTATTTTCGGCCTCGCCACTTTGAGAGAATACCGATTTATACAATTATCTCTCCCTCAATGCTCTCTGTTTGAACTTCACTCCTTCACTTCGCACCAATATGGCTGCTTAAAGGAATCTGCCGTTCGTCCGCCCTGTGCGCGAGTGAGTAGAGTAACCGCTCCCAATTCCCCATTAGCTGACTATCTAATAATTCCAACTTACTCTCTCTCTCTTTCTGTTACTCACTATTTACGTGTATTTTTCGTTGATTTTAATTTTTTTTTTTGTATCGCCCCGCATGTCCCCTGGGCGCAGTGTTCCAGACCTATTCGGCGGCACCGTCACTAACGCCCGATGATGATGTCTTTAAGCATATATCGTTGGTGTATGCGCGCAACCATGCTAAAATGTCCAGGGGCGTGGCATGCAAGTCGGCAACACCAGCCTTTGAAAATGGCATCACAAACGGTGCAGCCTGGTATCCACTGACGGGTGGCATGCAGGATTACAATTATGTTTGGTATGGCTGCATGGAGATCACCCTGGAGATATCCTGCTGCAAATTTCCGCCAGCCTACGAGCTTAAGAAGTACTGGGAGGACAATCAGTTGGTGAGTGCCAGTAACTTATTAGTAACATATTCTTTTTTTTAATAATATTTCAATATTCGATAAATAAATTTAATTCGATCTTAAATGATTAAGAGGTAAACAAGTTTTCAAAAAGAAAAGGTAATTTTGATTTCGGGTTAGGACTGGGGATTCTTATTTACCTAGCAAACAAAGGACTCCACTTTTAATCAAACACTTCTCTATGAATCTATTTTTTTAGTTTACGGTTTCGGGCACTTCTCTGTGAATCTCTTCTCTTGATTTTATGGTTACAACTGTGGCAACTTTTTATGATATTAAATAAGTTAAAAAACGATAGAAAAGAATCTTCCATCAGTTAAATAGAAAAACTATGTGTATACATATATATGTATACAATTTATGGATAACTTCCATATTTAATATAATATACAAACAACAAGCCTTGACAAACAATTTTCTTTTATGCACAGTCTCTCATAAAATTCCTGGCAGAGGCACATCGTGGCGTGCAGGGCTTCGTCTTCGATCCAGCGGGCATGCCCATTGAACGTGCCTCAATTAAGATAAAGGGACGCGACGTTGGCTTTCAGACAACGAAGTACGGTGAATTCTGGCGCATATTGTTGCCTGGCTACTACAAGGCCGAGGTGAGCATGACTCAACATTTCCCCAATGCATCGCTTTAAAATCCCAACGCGCTTAGGTCTTTGCCGAGGGATACGTGCCCCGAGAAGTGGAGTTCGTCATTGTCGAGCAGCATCCCACATTGCTCAATGTTACATTACAGGCATCCAAAGTAAGTTTGGAACTCAGCTAATGCAACCACTACTAATAATGGCTTTTGGTTATTTGTGATTTCCTGGTTTTTGGCTTAAATTCTATCCTTTACCCATGTACAAATGTATGTATGTGATGCGTGTCCTTCGCAGTATATTATTTCACCTAGAGCTTCCACGACCGCGACCACCACAACCATCAGCGTGACGACGCCACTTACACAGCGCCAGCTGGTGAATGATAAGCTGCAGTTGACCCAGGAGTAGAGTGAACGGGCAAAAACGATAGCCAACTTAATATATATTTAGTCACAGTAACAAGTGCACACTTCCATGGGTAGGATAAATTGAATTTATTGACCAATGCTTAGGATTAAACTCTACTACTACTAGCCAAAGTGTATCAACCACAGTCACGCACACACACACGACATTGGTTTGGTTATAATATGATAACCATACAAAGCTTAAACGCTTTATTATAAAATGAGCAAAGGAATGTAATTTTCTTGGTTTTGGTTTTTTTAATACTAAATCTACTTGGCTTGGCTTAATCATAAAGTAGAGATTGAAATGTATAAACAATGCACCTGATCCAAAGCCAGTAATAATATTATATATAAGTGTTATTGTCGTTAATAATGTTGTTGTAAAATCTAATTCTAATTTATGGATTTTAATTGTGGACAATAAATAATGTTGGAACAGTAGCAGCTGCTACGCACTTGAACCATTGCATTAACCTCTCTCCGCCCTCTTCACAGCACATTGAAGGAGTCGGAGCTGGCGGACCCCCTTACTATCGGCCCATACAAGCACCGCAGCATTATAGACCAGGCGTTCCGCCCTACGCTGCAGCCGCCTCCAGTGAGAACGGCATCTTCTCGACCATCAGCAATGGTTTGAACAGTTTGTATTCAAATATTTTCGGTTGATTGTCGACGAGACAGATGCTTGTTAAATTTTAAGATTACTTGTGTGTAGTACCTACTCTTAAATTTGTTCGTCTATATATTATTAAAAAGATAAAGGAAATAAAACGTTTTCAAAATTAACTGATATTATTTTGCATGGTAGATCAGGAAATACATGTAAGTTTGATAGAATATTAATATAGCAAGTAAAAGATTTCCTTTTTCTTCTTTTGACTTGCTAGCAAATCCAAACTCTTAAAAAGAAAAAACTTTTTAAAAAATAATCAATTTTAAAAATGCCGCCAGACGAACTTATCTTTCGACTACATAATAACGATAAATATTATAAGGTATTTTTTTTTCATTTTATATCGATATATCGATACATCGATAAGGGATCAACAACCATACCCACAGATTCGCCATTTTCTTTGTCGCTCTGTCGCACTGTGGGTATTTTAGATTCTGTGATCAAAAACTTGTGAATAAGCATTGAAAATGGTAAATTAAATTAAATGGCATACAAAATATATATAGTTTACAGCATAACATATGCGTGTATAGTAAAATATCCATGTTTTCATTGATAATTACGAACAAACTTGCGTTTTCACTTGCCGGGTGTCAAAAAAAACCGCACGCACATACTGCAGCGCCCCAAGCCATTTGACTAGCCTACGCACACGTGAGAACGCAATGCTTCTAGAAACTTCCATTGTGTTTGGATAGGTTCTTTGAACAGTTACCAAAATGTTTGCTCAATTGCCATGCATCGTAACATATTTTTGCAAGTGAACTGCAACTTTTTAGTTGCATTCGTCTCTGGGTGTGCGCAGCGTTTGGTTGTCGATGAATCACGCACCATTTGGGGTTAGGTCCGAAGCACTAACAACCTCGGCTTCTTTCTACATGCAAAGATCTGTGTATATATATATTTATGCATAAGCAGAATAGAATTAACATGTTTCATTTATTTAAATAATAATTTGCTTCATAGGAGATGTCTTTAAATCCCGTGCGCGTACTCAAAAATGAGGCGCAGGAGGAGAAAGCCGAAATGGCGCGTCTGTCGTCATTTATTGGTGCGATTGCCATTGGAGATCTTGTGAAGAGTACTTTGGGACCCAAGGGTATGGACAAAATCTTGGTGGCCACCGGACGCAATGCCGGCCAAGTGGAAGTGACCAATGATGGTGCCACAATTTTGCGTGCTGTTGGCGTCGATAATCCGGCTGCCAAAATTCTGGTCGATATGTCGCGTGTGCAGGATGAAGAGGTTGGCGATGGCACCACATCTGTCACCGTGCTGGCATCCGAATTGTTACGCGAAGCCGAAAAACTGGTAGAACAGAAACTGCATCCACAGATCATTGTAGCCGGCTGGCGTGTGGCTGCCCAAGCGGCATTGAATGCACTGACAGACGCTGCTCAGGATAATTCGTCAAATAATGAGAAATTCAAGAACGATTTGCTTAATATTTCACGCACCACATTGTCCTCAAAGATCTTGCATCAACATAAGGATTTCTTTGCAAATCTGGCCGTCGATGCTGTGCTACGTCTGAAGGGATCCGGTGAACTGAAATCCATACAGATTATCAAAAAGTCTGGTGGTACACTAGGTGATTCGTTCCTCGATGATGGCTTTCTGCTGGACAAGAAGCCCGGCGTTCATCAGCCTCAGCGCGTAAGTGATATTCTTTTATTTACCAATTAATAATAATATTCATTCATTACCTACCACCTAATCATAAATATGTGAGTGTGTTCTTCATGGTCGTTGCTATCAGTGCTCCATATTGGCGCGTCAAATTGACTGTGAGCTATGTTGTTGCAGTTGTAATTCATATCACAGCCATTTTGACGAGTTTGATGTGGCAGCCACAATCTACTCATTGACCAAAATTACAAAAAAAAAAAAAAAAAAAAAAAAAACCTTCGACCACGTGACTCATACGCTGACATCAGGCCCTGGCGTCATGAGCTGGATGAATGGATTGGAAAATTATGGGAAATGTTATATGAAAACTTTTTGCAAACTATCGGCTTAAAAAAATTGTGTGATTTTCTGTGATTCAATAGACTAAAAATTTTGATACACATTTCGTTTGCTCAGATTGAAAATGCAAAGATTCTCATTGCGAACACACCGATGGACACTGACAAAATCAAAGTATTTGGTAGCAGCATCAAAGTTGACTCGTTGGCCAAGATCGCCGACCTGGAGATGGCTGAAAAGGAGAAGATGAAAGAGAAAGTAGACAAGATATTGAGTCACAAATGCAATGTATTCATCAATCGCCAGCTGATCTACAATTATCCCGAGCAGTTGTTCGCCGATGCCCAAGTAATGGCCATCGAGCATGCCGATTTCGATGGCATTGAGCGTTTGGCTTACTGCACCGGTGGCGAAATTGTGTCAACCTTTGAAAATCCCGCTATGGTCAAGCTTGGCGAGTGCAATCTCATTGAGCAAGTGATGATTGGCGAGGACACACTGTTGCGCTTCAGCGGTGTCAAGATGGGAGAAGCCTGTTCCATTGTCATTCGTGGCGCCACCCAACAGATCCTGGACGAGGCTGATCGCTCACTGCATGATGCACTCTGCGTGCTGGCAGCCACCGTCAAGGAGTCGCGCATTATTTATGGCGGAGGCTGCTCCGAGGCCCTAATGGCCAATGCCGTCTTCAAGAAGGCATCCGAGACACCCGGCAAGGAAGCTATTGCCATTGAAGCATTTGCACGTAAGGAACATAAATGCCAGTTTTCAACCATTGTAAAAACATTAATTAATATATGGTTTTGTATACCATACTTCTTTTTATTGTTTTGTAGGTGCTCTGCTATCGCTGCCCACAGCTATTGCAGACAATGCTGGCTTTGATTCGGCTCAACTGATCTCCGAGCTACGCGCTAGCCATGCCCAGGGCAAACACCATCTCGGTCTGGATATGGAGCAGGGCAAGGTGGCTGATGTGCGCGAACTGGGCATCACTGAGTCCTTTGCCGTGAAGCGTCAGGTTCTAATGTCTGCCGCCGAGGCTGCTGAAATGATTCTGCGTGTCGACGACATCATCAAGTGTGCGCCACGTCGTCGCGTTCCCGATAGGGGCTATTGCTAAACATTGATTCTTATTAAGTAACTTTGTCTAGGATTTTTTTTAAAAGCCTTAACTCTCTTTTTAACATCATCGCTAACTTTATGTTTCTGTTTAAACTTATAACTCACACATAAACGCTTACACACGCGCTCTAGTATTGGTCACATCCAGCACAATTGAGTTTCTCCAAATTGCTTGTGAACATTTCAAATCAGTTTCTGTTACACGAATTACTGTTGCGTCAGCCCAGCTTATAATATTACAGAGAGCGGGAGGACCGAACAAAAACAACTAAATAACAAAAAATAAAGCACAAATTTCAAAAATGTCTGAAATCAACACTCAAGCAAATTGTAAATGAATACAATTATTGTAAACCTTTAATATGCGCAGCATTGAGTGAAACCAACAGCAAAATGAAATAAATAAAAAATAAAAATTGAATAAAATAATGATATTTACACTTAACAAAACTAAAATTCTTGTGTTCATTATTTTGATATTCATAATACTCTTGGCAATTTGTCCATATATCTTCTCTTATGCAATAAATCTTAGTAAAAGTAAAAAGAATGTAAATTTTAATTCGTTTTATATATTTCGTTTTTGTTTACAAATACAAGTTTTCCAATTATCAATTATCTCCGCCGATCCAATAAAATTCTCCATGCGACAGATGACGGCGGAATATTAAAAAATTTGTTAGAAACTAGCTGGGGAGAGTGAAGGTGTATTTGTCGAATTTCAAAATATTTATTTTAAATATAGTTCGATTCGACCGGGCTAAATTGTAGCGTTTCTTTATGAGAGACATCGGAACATTTTTGACATCTTTCTGTATTTATATTTCCTATCAAACTTTCTTCATTGCCGTGATCAGTGTTGCTTACTTTATAGAGAATGTTATTAAGTTTTCTAAGTAAGTTTAACTGTTTGTTGAGGATTTCGATTTGGAAATTTTCCAACACAGATACGTTGATGACTTTATTTACTAATGAATACACTTCGAAAAATTAATAACTTTACAGATAACATTGCATAAACACTCTTTATTCCTACAAATTTCTTTTCACAATAATAAGTTGTTGCTTAGTTGGAGTTAAAACCTTTTAAAATCTTATTGAAAATTCTGCATGAGATATTGATTCAAGCTGCATTTGCCAGTTGCTTGTATACAATTTAATTTGTGGCACATTGCGATTAACATATTAGGATAATAGATATATTTTATATATATGCATTTATGTATGTCCGTAACTATAGTTTTTTGCTGACTACGTCACATTCTAAACGAAACACATTAACAAATGGCTAGGTAGGCGGATGCCTACATAAGTATATGTACAGCATTGCCAGGGCAGGGCGGACCTTAGACTTTACTTATCGTTGAGATAAATACGCGGCCTGACGCATGCACGCAAGGGAGCGAACAAGAGAGACATACAGACAACGGGAGAGACAGAGAGAGCGGGATAGACAAAATATAATAGATGGTAGGTTTGACAGTACATGGCATTAAGTGAGAGTCGTCCTGCAGACGCCGTGCTTGCTTCCAGGTCGGATCTAGCGTTTGCGCCCAAACTTTAGGAGATAGCGCATTCCTTCTCACCTTGCTTGGGCACACAGTCCAGGACGAGGGCGACAGCACGTGACATATACGTCATGGTGCCATAGCTGCCACTGGGCGCGCTAGGAAGGAGAGATTATCCGAAATCAAGTAAATATTTATATTGCAAAATGCAGCAAACTCACCTGTCATAGAGATGTTGGCATATGTAAGCAGCGCCACCGCAGAGCAGCATACCCGATGCAGCCTGCTGCTGTTCCTTGCCATCCTTGAGCTTGGCACAGCACAGCGTTGCATCGCCCTGCACCTTGCGTTGATCCTCTAAGAACAATTGATTGGCCTTGTGCACCAAGTGTTCCACACAAATAATGCCACCCAATGTGGGAACCATGTTGTGCTCGGTGACCAGTGTAAGCACCATAAGCGCCTCAACCACCAGCTGCCTGTACTCTGGCTGTGGTATTTGATTTAGTGCCGTTTCTACCTCCAATGCGAATTTCAACTCGCCCGGCGTCATCTCCTGGGTAAGGCTCTGCTGTAGTATACGGCCCTCAATGGCCAATCCTTGGCACTTCTCCAGTACGGTCCAGACGCGTGAATAGAAATCGCGTGGCACACGATTCAAGGCGCCATCAAGTCGACGTCGTCGCAGCCACTGACCCTGACGATCATCAATTGTGGAAATTAACGCATCCTCACCCTCCGGGTCGCCAAGTCCAATTTGGCTTTTCTTACTGACGCGACTCGACTTGCAGCTCACAATGGACAGATTGCCGCGCGCCACTGAAATGAGATCAGATTGGGATGATATGAAATAAAGAATGATGGAGGAATGGATTCTAGACTTACCGCTGCTGACGGCAAACTCCTTGCCACTGAGTATGTGATAGAGTAAGTTTTTCATCTCGAAGGGTGATAGATTAAGTAGATGTTCCGAGGCGGCCTCACCGTTACAGTTAAGCGTGCGTGATAGCTCCTTAGCCATCACCTGAATGATGAGGCCGACGCGCAAGCGCAACATTTCGTGAAACAATTGCGGCTCGGTGCGTATGAACATGGCCAAATAGACCATGAGCTCCTGTGTCAACATAGCTGTGCTCTCGTCATCACCATAGGCCTACAATGGATGTGAGTTTAGACACAGCTGATTGTATGTTTTGTGAAATGTACCCACATCGTGTATTAGTTGACGCAGCTCAACTTCTGGTAGCGGTGCCGTAATCGTGTGCTCATTGTTTGGCGGCATGCCAACGGTGACCTGTTTTTGGCGCACCAACAGATCGGTGACCGCCTTGCCCAGATCCTCGACACGCTTGCCCAGCATGCCAGCGGTGTGACGCACCAAGCCCCAGAGCTTCTGCTGGCATGCCTTCTCGTATAGGCCCTTCAGTAGATCCCTAACCGTGACTACGCGTCCCTCCTCCAGCATGCCTTCAGATTGAGAAGAATCGTTGTTATTCAAGCTGTTGTTGTTGCTGTTATTGTAGCCGGGGGCGGTTGCGACTAAAACGATAGCCGTATTGGCTTGATCCTCATCCTTGGCAACACTGCTTGCTGTAGGTGTAGTGGCATCGATAATCACTGTAGGCACAGACCTTGGCTTGGGTCCATTACCATCACCATCACCATCACCACCACCACCACCATCAGCAGTTGAAAATTCAAGCATTACATCATCCACGAACGATTGCTCGGAGTCTTTTGGTTTTTATTTTTTACACATTTTTTTGTTTTCAATTTTTTTTTGTGTGTTTTGGGTTTAATGGGATCACGGGTTTGCGGGGTGTTAGGTTAGCATTTGTGGGCCAGTTGTGGGTCAGTTGTTGTTAGTTAACAATGCAGAAAATGTTGTTGTGGTTGAGATTCGGTTCAGGTTAATGGCAGGATGAAACGTATTGGTAATGGGTACATGTGTCGTGTGCATTGAGAGTAAAAATAATAAAAGAATGTGGGTTAAAAATAATGAATAATCAAAAGCGTCAATAATAAAAACCGAGCGCAATATGCGAAGTTGAATTTTGCATGACAGTGTGATCAGTTTCTTTATCGCAGTTTGAATAACGCTAGTATAACAGATAATACACATATGCATATATGATTTAAACACATAGCTTGTGCAAAAATGAAAAGTGCATTGGGGGACCTTTGAATAAAACAAATGGGCGCCACCAACAAACACAAAAATTTCAGGATGGGATTTCGGGATCGGATCGAAACTGAGTAGATAAGTAACTATGGTAATGGTGAAAGGGATGTGTTGGAGGGATTGGTTGGGAGATTCATGTGTATACTATACCGCCAACAACATCATACACAGAAGACGAAGAATCAGGAACATTTTAACACTTACCAGCGGCATTATCATCGGTTTTGTGCTTTAAGCCCAGACCAGCTGCAGAGATGCGAATGTGAAGTGAAGTGACACGGAACGGAGTGAAGTGGACAACAACGAAAGCACAAAGCGTGTACATATATACAAAGAACGAGGAACACAACAATTAAATATCAAATCGAATAGTGCAACATACGCACACATCACTCTAAATCGTTTCGACTTGCTGTCGATTTCACAACGCAATTTTTAAGCCCGTCTCGAATTGGTTTTTATTTTACATAATTAATTCTTACGTTATTGTTGTCTGTTTATTGTGAAATCGAGATCGAGCAAGAAAACAAAACACATAATCCAAGACCCATTATGCAAAAAATAGTCGAGAACCCTGTAAACCTCACTAATAACGCAACAGACATGTATACTAATATATAAATAATTGGGTGTAGCTGCAGCGCATGTATATGTATATGTATATGTATATGTATATGTATATGTATATGTATATGTATATGTATATGTATATGTATATGTATATGTATATGTATATGTATATGTATATGTATATGTATATGTATATGTATATGTATATGTATATGTATATGCATATGTATATGTATATGTATATGTATATGTATATGTATATGTATATGTATATGTATATGTATATGTATATGTATATGTATATGTATATGTATATGTATATGTATATGTATATGTATATGTATATGTATATGTATATGATGTATATGTATATGTATATATGTATGTATGTATATATAAATATGTGTGTGTGTATGTGTATGTGTGTGTGTATGTGTGTGTGTGTGTGTGTGTGTGTGTGTGTGTGTGTGTGTGTGTGTGTGTGTGTGTGTGTGTGTGTGTGTGTGTGTGTGTGTGTGTGTGTGTGTGTGTGTGTGTGTGTATGTGTGTGTATGTGTATGTGTGTGTGTGTGTGTGTGTGTGTGTGTGTGTGTGTGTGTGTGTGTGTGTGTGTGTGTGTGTGTGTGTGTGTGTGTGTGTGTATGTGTGTGTGTGTATATGTGGAAGCGGGTCAGTCCGTGATGTAACCAGTTCCGATAAGACAGCCACTCGCTTATTTGCCTTTGGCCAGGCTTCACAACAACTTACCGGTATTGAAATCCAGGCCTTGAGTATCCACCAAGTACTGCAAGATGTCGCCCTGCTCTTCGAGATTCTCCGTTTCGCGGAGCATGGCAATCAGCTCCTCAACCTCTGTGTCCGCAAAATTAGTTTCCGCACGATGGCGTTGAATGAGAATTTTGGGAACGGTTACTTTAGTTTGACACCAAACAGTGCAAGTGAAAACGTAAAAGGATCAAACCAAAATGAAACCAACCGAATCGAATCGAACCAAAAATAAAAATAAATACCAAAATTAGTGCCACTACAAAATGAATATGGAGGTATGAGGGACTAACTCTCTTGCTGGCGCACGAACTCGCTGCGGCGATCGATAGCCGATCGGCTGTGCTGCGGATCCATGGGATAGATATTCTCACGCAGTCCAAGATCGCCGCCCAGCTGCGGCGGCGAGGTGGGACCCTCCTCGGGCGTTGTGGCAAAGACGCTGACGTGCCCCTGCTTATTTGCCAGCAGCCAGGGTGGCGGCACTATCGACGAGAGACGGCGCTCGGTTAACGGCGATGGGCCCTCCATGCCCAGATTATCAGCTTTATTAAACAAGGGACAAAAGATTAACATCGATTTACAATGAAAGAAAGTCAGACTGTGCAGCAGCTCCACTTACAGTCCACATTGATGGAGCGCGTTTTTTTTATGGCCCCCTTGCAGGACATGCGGCGGCGCAAGTGTCGTGGACGCAGTTGACCGCCGCGCAGATTCATTGTGTTGCGATTGCTAAACGAGCGCAATAGATGTTCATCCAAATAGGTCTGCACATCTGGATGCAAGCGATCCGGATAGCCATCCTCGGTGCTACCCAAAAAGCTCAAATCCGTAATGGCCGAGGTGTTGAGAAAGTCCTTCAAACTGCCCAGCATAACACGGGTGCCATTTATATAGCCAGACTTCAGCTTTCTCATCGTCTGAATCATGGCCAGCGGAATCTTGTCCTGGTCTGTTGGGCACCACAAATACCAGCGGACAAAATGTATGTTAGGAAATAGAACTTGTGGTTGCATTGGGGATAATGTATTTTATATGGTTTGTTGTTGGATTGATTTGTGATTCGATCGATTAATGCTCGGTTCGTTTGGGTTATCAATTGTGCATGGTTAACAGGTGCCGCTTAAGACTACATTTTTTTCACAAGCTATGACAGGTATATGACAATCACCGACAGACGTAAAGATTCACTCAACGAATATTTAACAGAGGATATATGAAAGCATTTTTTTTTATTTGAGTTTCGGTTTCAGTGAATTTGTGTTCAACCCAAACAGAGTGCAGTTTAGAGACAGGGTTTTCATTTCTACAGAGATTTCTGAAATTATTTATTTACGAATGATGTATACAGTTATCTATGGTGAAGAAGAAGAGTAACTCCCCATGCTAAGCAAATCTGAAAATCCTATAGGGGAGGACACAGTTGAAAGTTGTTATTAATTAACCCATAATAATAACGGAGTCAGATCAAAGACTTACAGACAGACAGATTGACCTAAAACTATATATAATATAATATTATAAAACTTGCATAAAAAGAAGCATGTCCAATTATATTAATCCTAGTAACAATTATCATTAAAAACAATCAGTAAGTCCATGTTATAAAGTAGCAAGTTTTTGATTGCACTTCTTTACCAATTTCAAATTATTGACTACAAATATTAAATTTATTAAGGCATTGAACATTTATCAATAAATTTGTGACCTATTTATACAGTCTTGTAAAGGGTATTCAAGTTTATCGTGAAGTTCATAAGGCAATAGGGGAGGCGTTTCGTTTTATTTGTTCATAAGATATAGAGAGAAACCGAAAATAACTCAAACATGCTTCTCTACAATATACAACAAAAAATTGCTCATAGTCTTCCTCAGCTCAGAAGAGTTTTAATTAACTCGACAAACTACTCAATTCAACATTATTGAGCAATACCCTTGATTCGATTTAAATACTGTATTTTGAAGCAATTTAAACTGATATCATCAGAGCAAAGTACCGGAAACCAAATTGGGGCTTGCTTGGAAATTTACAGCTACATCGATATAAGTAGTAGTAGTATAATTAGTAGTAGCAGAAGGTAGGCGTTGTAGAAAGAAAAATCAAGCGCGCGTAAGAATCAACACACAGAAAAAAACACACATTCAGTAATTAGCATAGTTATAATTGAAATCGAAATCGTAATCATATCATACAATACATCATATCAATTGTGTTGTGTATGTATGTATATAAGGTATGCAACGTGTTCTTGTTTGTGATTTGCTTTTGTTTTTGTTTTTGGCATATGGTATGGGTGTAGTTGTTATGTAGTTACCTAGCATATAATGCGTTGCCATTAGTGTGATTGTCGGTCTGCCCAACATGTGACGCCATTGTTGGTCAAGAAGGCTAAGTTTGTGGTAAAATTGCTTGCGAGCAGGTCGGGATCGCGTGTTGTATAGTATTCTTCATAGTCGATATGCTGTGTGTGGGTTGAATTTCATATTTTTTTTTTTTTGTTTGGTTGTTCATTGGATAATTTATGTTCATTTGTTGTTGTTTGTCAAGCACGAATTATACAAAAAGAGAAGAGATTTTGTTTTTTGTGGTCTTATCTTTTGCATTTTGGCCAAATTTCATGGGGGATGGATCTCTTTCATTTATTATTTTTTTCTTTTTTTGGAAGGGATAGTGCAAAGCATAGAGAGAAATTAATAGATATACATATGAGAGCATGTGGATCGCGTGAAATCAGAGAATTAACTAAACTATAACTCAATTGCATATGGTTAGATATATATGTATGTATAATGTTTTGCACACATGTGTGCTTTGCATATATATGTGTGTGTGTGCTTGTGTGTGCTTGTTTAGGTGTCCACAACCAAAGAAAACGAATGCATTTGCAACTCAAAAGTAAACTAAGTGGTTATTTATAAATACAAACTAACTAAAATCAACTCAACTAAATCTAATTCAATTCATAGTCGGTATGCGTGTGTGTGTGTGTGTGTGTGTGCGTGTGAGTATATGTATTAAAATATATAACTTAACGTGGAAAGTAATAGGAACGGAATACTTGAAAATTCAAAATACCAACTTAAGAATATAAAATCATAGAAGAAACATAACTGTAACCGAACACACACACATACACATAAAGTAGGTAGGGGGAGAAGAATGTAAATAACAAAAATCACAAGAAATAATATACATGTGTATGTAGTTGGAATTTTGTATTAAAAATAACACTGATTTAGGTTTATGTAAGGTAAGACCGACCTAAATGGATGCGCTTCAGCACCAGTGTCACTAAGGGACGCCCAAGCAGATCCCAAGCGGACTTGAGAAAATTGATCTCGCCCTTAAGGATGTCAATCATGAGTTCGTTATCGGAGGCGATATAGAAGCGCGACAAGTCGACAAACTAATGCATAATACAATAATAATACAAGTAATATAAAATAAAAATAATAATAATGGTAATAACAAATAAATTATAAGAAGTCAAAACAATAATCATTAAAATTGCATTAAATAATAAGAAAAATAAATAAAAATCGACAGAGATTGAGAAAGAGAGAGTGGAAATAGTAGAGAGCGTATACTCGGAGCGGTACAAAATGCGAGAAGGGGAAATTCGAATCAATACGACCCGTGCAATTTACCTGAGGGGTAAAGGCAAATATACGATCCTTGAGAGAGTACAGTTTACTGGTGCTAAGGATACCAACGTCACGTGATTTGCGTCCACTTAGACCAAGCTTGCGATTGCGTCCCAAATACGTATACAAATGACTGAGGACACGGGCCGGCTGCACCTCAATGGGCGCGACCTCAGCAATGGTTTGCACGTGCAGATCGTGCTCGGCCAGCTTGTCGCGGATCTCATTGTCCTCGGCTATGATGACCACCTGGACGACAACATCGGGCTTCTTCTGGGCGCCAAGACGTCGATTCAACGGATCCAGCTCACCCACAGCCAAAAAGCCCTGATGGAAAGTTGAATATAGGAAGGAATGGATAGGGTTTTCTGGTGCACGCTCACCTCCTGTAGTAGGCGTCCCAAAATGAAGAGTGACTGGCCCCACAGGAATGGGCAGCGTCCAACAACTTCGCGTGCCTGCGAGCCGGGCTTTTGATATTCAAAGCCGACTAGATCCTGCGGCACTGCATAGCTTTCGGGCACAAGTAGTATGCCATCCTCGGAGCGCACCATTATCTTCTCTAGCCTATCAGCATACTCCTGCACCAAGTGCTTATCATTTTGAAAAGCATGGAACAGTATTAGATAGCAATAGAAGAGCGGCCACTCGCACTCAATGTTCTCGAACATGCGCAATTCCCAGCGCTCATAATAGAGACGCGACGGATCCTCCTTGGGTGTACGGTAGCCATCGCGCAGAAAACGCTTGCAGCCATATTTGCCCTGCAGGCGCGAAAGAATCGCATCCCTCGTATTGTGAATTAGCTGCGCATCATCGACAGCAAACGCTGGAAAACCTATAACACACAGTAGACCCGAGTCCAGCTCCTTGCTGTTGGACTCGCGTGGCAGCATTGACTGCAGCACCGCCTGGCACTTGTGCGCCTCATCAGCCAGTACGTGAATAACACTAGCGGGTCCACCGCGTGCGCCAAACAAATCCAGCTCATTCATGGCCTCAAGTGCGGCCTTAGCCATGCCAATGGAGCTGGCATTCAACTCGGGTTCACCTAATGAAAGAAAATAAAAAGAAGGAATTAGTAAAACAGGAACCACATCTAGGACTCATTCAGTATTCTCAATGGTAGGTACTTGAGGCTGGCTTGCATAGGATCACGCTATTTTTTAGAGATCGCCTTACGAGCGGCTGCGTTAGATAAGAAACATATGTATTTACGTTTAAGAATTTTCAATGAAATAAAGCAATGTTCGTCAGAGCAGAGATTTTGAATTCGAGAAAAGCAAGGCGTGGTCTGTGGCTTACAATAGAACTATGAAACAAAACAAAATCAAAACAAAACAAAAACATTTAAGTGAATATTATGTTGTCGGAAAATCAAATCGAGCTGATAAAGGCGCAGGTGAAACTTAGAGATGAAATTTTCAGACTTGTCAACAAAAATGCAAGCATGCACTACAAATTTCAACGAGACATGAGTATCCCAGGCAAGAACCTCCTAAGGTTAAACTTTTTTGTCCTATTCATCGAAGTCATTCATGAGAGAGTAGATATCAGCGAAAGAACAAAGCTGAACTACTTAAGATCATGCCTCAAAGCAGATGCATCCGCAATGATAAGCCATTTACTGATTGGCTCAGCAGCGAACTACAAGGATGCATGGGATCTTATTTGTAAGCGGCACGAAAATAATAGAAATATTTTCGTTTACCGGTTGAACACCTTATTGGAATTGGAAACGTTAATTACTAGATATAGCTGCATAGTGCATCTCCATAATAAAAGAAAAAACAAAGATTGGCGATGCAGCAGATGTAATCTTCACCCAAATCCTTCTTTAAAGTTTTTCTACGGAGACCATGCAGCAATACGAACAACACGTAACGACGAAAAATAAAGAGATGGTTTCCGTACGAAAAAGCGTTCCGTACCACGCGATGCCAGCAGAGATCGTTCCGTTGTTCGATAAGCGAACACGACATAAACAGATGTCAAAAATGTAAAGAAGCACAATTAAATGTGTTTGTAAATATGCAGCATCTATGCTTCCATTGTCTGGGCACTCATATTATGGCGGAGTCTGAACTGTCTTAAACAAAATACAGAGCCCGAAACATTATTGGCCACTGCAGTTATCAACGTAAGAAATGGTAGTGGAAACTTTAAGCAGCTTTAAGCACTAATGGATGGAGGATTGCAACGCACTCTACAATCAGAAGAAGCAGCGCAGATTTTAAGTCTTACAAAAAGCAAGGAGTCCGTGGAAATATAGGCATGGAACTGACACAAACAGTGTGCAACTTGAATTCAGACCTCGATTTTTAAGCTAATTCCACGGGAAGACTACAGCGCTAGTGCTTAATGCCGAGAAGAATTCACATTATCATTGGTGTGAACCATTTTCCCTTAAGTATGACGGGACAAGTCAAACCAATCAAAGAAAATTCTGACAGCGAGCACGACTGTTAACATTGGTGATCTTGAGCGCTTCTGGGAACTGGAAACCGAAGATACCGATGCAACTGAAGAAACTCTACCGCACCAGACGGTAGTTAGACAAGACAGCTAACCACAAAACAGGGGGGTTGCTTTTGATGCATCAGCACAAACTACATATGGACGCCGTATGACACATCGGCCGCACCCTATCTAGCAGCGCGCTCATTGGATGAGCCGGCGGACTTATACTGCAAAGATGATGAAAAATTAACACAAATTATAAAAAGATTTCTACATGGATGATTTAATGACTGGTGCCAACCAAATTGAAGACTTCATTGATATCTAATAGAAGATAAGAGCTGTTATTACCAAAGGCGGAATGCATTTGCGAAAATGGGTCTGTAACGATGAGAAGATAATGGCGTCAATAACAAGCGAACGGATTGTTTTGGGACCCAACCAGAGATGCCACATTTAGGTCATATTTCAAAACGATCAGTGCTTTCTCAACTATCAAGAATATTTGACCCATTAGGATGACTATCTCCTGTAACACTATAGGGAAAATGTTTCATGCAGGAATTATAGAAATTGAATAAGGGCTTGGTAGACATTTGGCGCAACTTTGCAAATGAGCTGGATTGAGTTGGATTGGAAGCACAGGTCACACAGCCATTGAGCTTTATGAAGAGGTTGCCAAGTTACCCTACTTGGCGATAGAAGCAAGGTAAGTCCGGCCAAAAACAAAAAAAAAAACATCCCCAAGACTTGTGGCAAACTACTGTTTCGAGTCTCGTGCGCAATGAGCTGTCAAGCTCAAATCAACGCTTGGAACGATTCGCAAATTACAGTTGCATGGATTACAAATAAGCGCAGTAAGGACAAATTTGTGAAAATCAGGGTGGACGACATTACGAACCATTAGTAAAATACAACTACGTGAAATCGGAAACGTAGGAATCACACCAGAAAATCTGGATCATTATACAACTTAGTGACATGGGCCACAGTGGCTAGCTCAGCCTGCGAGCGAGTGATCGGTATTCCAAGAAAAGTAGCTAGTGACAGTGTCAACAATATTAAATCGAAACAATTTTTCGATTCATAACAAATCTTTGGGCAAAAGGTACTCAATCACCGTTCACCGAAGCCAACTTTTGGAATAAAGCTAAATTGACGATAATAAAGCTTCAGCAGCAAAAGAGATTCGTCAACTTCAGAACAAAAAAGGATTGGAGACAAAGAGCAAACAAGTGCCACTCTCCCCTTTTCTGGACGACGAGGGAATTCTGAGAATAGGAAAGGAAAAAGGAAAAAACAATAAAGCCAAAGTTGTCATAATAAATTCAAGTTACAGCGAAATAAAGCGGTTAATTAATAAAATTTGTCCGCTACCACACAAGATGAAGAGCAAAAGACTCTACGAGGAAGCACACGGAGCAACATGACTGCAGCAATCATTGTGAGCCTACTAATGATATTACTCGTGGCAACGGCAGTCAAAAATTCCAATAAAAATAGCTCAAAAATATATATACGTGAGCTAGAAAAAGATTCATCAATATTTCTGGAAAACATTGAAAAGACGGAAGTAACATCATCAGGCTGAGACTTCCTATATACTTCAATTTACAAGACTACTAGCCTACATTGCGTTTAGCAATATTGGAAAAGCTGCAGAAATATGTCCCAAGTTTATGGAATTCGAAAAACATTGCGCCGCAATGATATCGAGAGTCAGGCGACAATTGGACGCAATAGAGAAAGAAGCGATATTGTGAAACAATCTTTGTATGTCCAAACGAATGGTTTGATATTTCATCAAAGTTATTTCAATAATTACCCTGAAGACATTAAAGACAAACCAAGAAAACATAAAAAGCTATATAGAAATTCAATCAACTTAAAAACAGGCAGAAAAAGTCCACGACAACTTCAATGAGATGACCCCAAGATTGAATAATATCACTGAATTAATCAGGGTTCAATATCTAGTAAACCGGGAGTCAATCAAGTTCTTGCTGCTCATTCATCAAGTGAAGTGAATCAAAAAATCGGAAAATTGAAGGAAAAATAATTGATTTATTCATGGATTTAAGTCAGCGAACATTGAATCCCATACTCATCAAGCCTTCTCAAGTGTTGAAGGAGATTAAAAAAAGAGCAGGATGTCATGCCTCCCAGCCACGTGTTACCTGTAAAAACTGCCGTCGGAGGGAGTCGGCCATTTTTAAGATTATTCCGATACCGTTCAGCGGTGGCAGCATTATCTACAATACGGCGCGGTAAGTACCTTCCACTTAATGTCTGACTCGGACCTGAACAAGTGCCGCTTCGAAGAAATCTGGACATGGAAAGATGCAGAAGAGAACTTCTGCGAAGCCACACCAATGAAGCCTCACTCAAACATGTCGTGTTCAATGGTTGAATACAATGAGCAATTATTTTGGATAGAACTGGGAGCCCACAATCGGTGATTGAAAGTACGTCGGCTCAGATCCAATGCAGTGCATGCATCATCAATACAGTATGTTGGCGTTCTGAACCTCAGACCTCATCAGAGCAGACAGTTCGAATCTAAAGCTCTTCATTGACTATACTCTAATCGTGTTTCACACTCACCATGATTGGTCTTATCACCGCGCTCCCAGATGCCATAATCGGGTATAGAGTAGGCGGACTCAATGTAAAATACCAGATTTTGTATAAACGATACTTCGTCCAGTGAAAAAACAATCTGTAAACCGGAGGCGGTCATCTGTGCAAGTATGAGCAGGTATAAGGAAACCGCATCGATTTGCAAATGGCCCCATTCATTGTCACCGACAACGGGTAGACCATTCTTGCTGGAGTATTTCGCATGCAGTGAATCGACGGGGCTCTGGGTCATTTTAAATTTCTCGACCTTATCCTTTTGGTTCATCATGGCCATGAGTAGGCCGCGCATCAGTTTTACACAGCTTTGCTCCAGCTCATAGCATTTGGCACGATCCTCATCCTGATCGGCAATTTTCTTGTAGGCCATCGACAAGCCCCACACAGCCAGAATGCAATACACATTGTCCCGTATCCACGCATGCGAATTGACGCTCGAGGCGGGAAACAGGCCGGTCACTGGTTCCTGATGTGCCAAAATCAAGCGATGTACGATTCGTTGATAGTAGTCCAAGCGGACGCCCGAGTTGCTACGCGACCGCATCTTAGTTGCTTATTTTCGCCTTCTTCTCCTTCTACTGATGCTTCTGCTTCTTGTTTGCGCGTTCTGCTGCAGTTTTGCAGGCAAGTGATAGAGTTATTGCACAGATTTACATAGTACTAACTAATAAACTTACATAATTATATCGAAGAGTGCCAGTTGTAGTCTGAGCGGCCTGATGTTACTAAGCGTATGTAATTGTTGTCAATTTCTTTTTGGGCACCTGCCCCAAGGCCCACAGCCAAACCACCCACACAGCAACAAAAGCAGCTGGCTGCAGTTAAAAGCGGCCGTAATCGTTGTCAATGATCAATGTTGCATTACAAGTTTGTGCACGCTATTGGACACTGGACGCTGTTGCTGTAGGCCAAGTAAAATGACTTGTAGATGGTTGATTTAGCAAAAATTAAGAACTAAACCGTTTGAAATGCTAAAATTATACACCGAAATGTCAACTCAATGTCAAGCCGATTATCGATGTATCGCCAAGAACGATAATAATCAAAGCGATGACAAATGTATATCGAGGCGGATATAGCTAATGTATAACAGCAGCACTGCGCCATTTGCAGAACGCTCAATTCAAATATGAATTTTGATTTTTACTGGCGGTCTTTTCTACCAGTGACTGTTTGACAAGTTATAAAGAATAATCGCTTTCAACTCGCCTTGACCTCTCTCCGCCGCATCGTGCGCCCCCCGACTGATAAGATTATTTTCAATGTTGTACATATAGATGCACGTTGAAGATCGTAAAAATGTCGAGTTCTAATATCCGCGTTTTCACTGTATTTTGTACGATAGTTGCATTTTTCTTAGTCAATAGCTCTTCTAGCAGTAAGTTTGTTGTGTCAATTTCAATTTTGAGTTTTCTTATCTCTTTCTAAAACAACCACAGAACCAATAAGACACTATGGCCGCTGTAATGTGGGGAACGAAACCGGTTACTGCCAGCATCGGCAACGGTGTTGGGAGCAGGGAGCAAACTTCAGCAGCTCAGCCCGTAGCCAGTGTCCAAGTCAACTACGTCACGATCTAGTTTGTTGTCGCCGCGCACCGTTTGGGATTGTTTCCTCTGCCCTGAAGCAATTGCTACCACAGCCGGGCGTTTGTGGCTTTGTTGATTTCATTGAAAATCGTGTCATATCTGGCACCATATCAAGCATAAGGGATTTTCCATGGATGGCTCTGCTGCGCAAGTCTAAAGATGGTAATTTCACGCATTCATTCATTAATAACACGAAAAAAAATTTCAAATATTTTTGTAAGACTTTTTTAAAAGATTTTGCTCTCAAGATTTAGTTAATAACACAAAAAGGGAAAATTGAAGAAATATTTTATATATAATTATTTATTATTTCCCTTATTATTTTTCATTCGATCCACTTCAAAGATATAAATATTCATAGAAGAAAAAGTTTAACTATTTCCATTACCTTCATACTAAATTTTAGAAGCTAAAAGATTTTCTCAGCATAACCTATTAATACAAACACTTGAATAATTGCGTTGCATAAAATTATTATAGGCGAGCAATATACACATGTGTGCGGTGGCTCGCTTATCCACGAGCGCTGGGTATTAACAGCGGCACATTGTGTGCCCATCCGAGAGGATAGTCAAACTTTGTTGCAGGTGCGCCTGGGCGAGTGGAACACGACCAACTCACCGGACTGCCAATGGTCAGGGGGGGAAGAAATCTGTGCTCCCCCACACATAGACATGAATGTCGACCGGATCATAATGCATGAGGAATATGTCAAGGAATTTGCACCGAATGCCAAACTTCTCAACGACATTGCACTTCTGCGTCTGCAGCAGCCCGTCAACTTTTCAGAGTTTGTGCAGCCTATTTGCCTGCCAAGTTCTAATGATGACGATGAATACACGTACGCTGATTATGCCATGGACATTGCTGGTTGGGGCAACACCGAGCACACGAGCTTCGGCGGCAGTCCGATCAAATTGAGGGCAGTGCTGAACGCCTTGTCCATGGCCAACTGTAGAAAAAACTATCCGCATATTATGTCGAGTCAATTGTGTGCCGGTGGCGAAACGATGGCGGGTACCTGTCACGGTGATTCCGGCGGTCCACTGATGTACCAGCTGGCATATGATGACAAGGAAAACAGAGCCTACTATATTGCTGGCATTGTTTCACTGGGCTTGGCATTCTGCAATTATAGTGGGCAACCGATGATATTTACCCGAGTTGAACAATATGTGCCTTGGATAATGGGCACTATTAGCGCCAATATGTAAAGTAAACAATTTAGACAGATCAGACCATTGTTGATTGATATAAATGAATGTATTTGCCAAAAGTTTGGGGATTGTATTTTTTTAAGGGAACTGCAGCAACTTCTTAGAGTCCGCCATGCTAGTCACGTCGGCTTCGCTTGCGCTCCGAGTGTGAGCCGCGATCATTCTTTTCGTCGGCACGCTTGGGAGCTTTCTTGGCCATGTTCAAGAACTTGTCCAGACCAAAGGGATCTTCCTCCTTCTCAAACTCCACTGGGCCGCTACGCTGAGCGGAGCCCGGATCCCGCGAACCAGCACCAGAGAATTGTTTATCCGGCACAAAGCGTTTCGTATTAACAATTGTATCCAAATCCCCGCCATAGTTGTCACTATCCGCCTGCTTGCTCGGTCTGTAGATGTGGGCGCCCAGGGTGTTGGAATCGCGCCATGGCTTGTCATACACATTGTAAGCCTCATCGTCGCCATAGCCAGAGTCCATGCCTTTTGTGGTATTGAACAGACGCTGATCGAACAGGGTCTCACCATTCCCGGCGCTCTTCGCCGGCAAGCCAAGGGCAATCTGCTCAGATATGTCACGCTCCCGTTCGCGCTGCAGCTTGGTGCGTTTTTCTGGCGCGGCACGTTGCAAATTGCGATCGCGTTGACGCTCGCGCTGCCGTTCGGCACGGAGATCGTTGCGCTCGCGTGCATCCGGATTACTAGCATTGCCGCCGAGACCACCACCACTGGGGGCATCTGGCTCTGGATTGCGTAGACCGGCGCGTTCCTCGCGTGCCCGTTGCGCCATCATGCGCAGCATATCCTCCTTCTTTTCCTTCTCCTTCTGTGCCAGCTTCTTCTCCAGCTGAGCCCGCGCCTCGACAGCCTCGCGTGCCTTTCGATCGGCAATGTAGAGAGCCTCGGCCATCTTAGCGAACTTTTCGTTGATGTGAACCTGTTGCAGGCCGCGTCCATCGGCGGCCAAGCGCTTGTCCAGTGGTATGGTGTAACCTAGGGGGAAAAATACAAATTAACGGATTGCCGTTATGGATGTCTAATTAGTGGATTAAAACCTTTGGCGTTCTTCCAGTTAGATATGCAGGGCGGTATTTTCCATTCTTTCTGCTCCTTGACTGTCACCTTACGTGACGGCGAGTGCAACACTGGCGCTGGTGGCGACGGCGGTCCACGTGGTATCTTCTTGTTAATGCGAAACTTTGGCGGTTCCATTGGATCCAGCTGTGCCTCCACCATTCGAATGACACGCTGTTTGGCTCCAGAATTGAAGGCATCCCCCTGCTGCGATGGCGTGTATCGGATGTATTGTGCGGGCGCTGCTTTTTGTGCATGTCGCACGGGTAGAGCTGAGGTGATCTTTTGGTTTGTGAGTTTCTCCAGGGCCAGACGTGTCTCCTCGGTTGTCTCGTTAACCGTTTCCTCGTCCGGTCGCTGTAGCTCGTCCGCATCTTCAGCGAGCACCTCGGCGGGCAACAGCTGCGTTATCGAAGAGTAGACAATTTTGTCCTTACCATGTCCCTGGCGAGCAATCGCATCATATTTCACTTTGCCGTTGTCATCCAGACGCACGGCGAGCGCTTCCGACTTCTTGCCAACATTAGCAGGGGCCCCGAGACCTAAACGAGATGCAAATAAAAAGTAGGTGCTGCTACTACTTATGCATTGTTGGTGTCATCTTACCTAGGGGATACTGGGCAACGTGTATTTCGGGGAATGCGCCACCGTCGCCAAAGTCAGCCTCTGTGCGTGGTATCCAGTCCTTGCGCTGGCCGTAAGGTGGTGCTGCAACTTTGGCGGACACCAGAGCACCAATCATTGGAGCCCCTTTGGCTGCCAAGCGACGCTCGTCTTCGCGATCCCATACCGCATTGGTCGGTGCGGGCAGAAGACTTGATAATGACATCACTACTTTCGTGTACACGTTTAATGTATGTCACTAATATGTTATTGTCTTTTCTGCGATGGATTAACTAAAAAAAAAACGACTGAAAGCTGAAAATCACACACACGCACACAAAACACACGCACCAAATACAATCAGCGAGTTCTATTCAATGTGACCGTTTGAGGAATATATAAGTAAATGTGTAAATACTGCGAAATACCAAAAATACTAAGCTCACTTACATGAATGCATGGATATCGAATTGTTTTTTCGTGCCAATTAAACTACCTCTAAATACCAAATATGGAATACCATAGCCAAATTAATCGATTGCAAAATGCTGCTGCATTCATAACGGCAACTTCAATTTGAAAACAATAAACAAATAAAAAGTTTACTGTATTCTATAAAAAGTTCAGTGTAATAAAGTTATCTGATCGGATTATTTAAGCTTAGTTTTATTATTAAAAGAAGACAAATACAAATAATAAAATTTAAAATAACAATATAACCATATATGCATGTAACTAAGTGTTGCGCATGCGCTTGACCGGTTGCCTGGGCTGAATGCGAAAACGCTTTGACGAACTGGATGAGGGCGACATTTGCGTACAATACTGATAATCCAGCGTTTGAGTTCGTTTGCGTTTCAAGGTCTGCATGTCCCCATCATCGTGAGCTTGCATGGTGCGCACCAGTGAGCCAGCAATGGAGGCACAACGCCTGATCAGAGACCCAGTGCTGGACGTCGAAGCAGTAGCGGTGTTTTCTTTGTCATCGCTACCGCTACTGTTCCTGATTGCTGCTGTCTGATCTGTTCTTAGGGCCAAGGGCAAGCGAAGGACTGACGACATCAGGGACCAGAGTCGTCCAGGCTCCGATTGGCCACCTAATTCTGTTTCTCCTGTCGCTGTGTGCTTCCTGTCATTATGCGTGGACGCACTGTTTGGCAAAAACACCTCGTCCTCATCGTCACTGATAAGATCCTCCACGGAGCTGAAGGAATTGTGTGTGCGGTACGCACGCAATGGGGGACGCGCCCGCGGTCCCTGTGGCTGAGTCATCTTCGATTGCGTCGCGAATTCACCACTTAGCTGTCGCGGCACAATCTGCTGTCGACGTTGCTCATTACTGCTGAAAGTCTGATCAGCTGCTGCCGCTGCTGAGGAAGTGCTCGGATTAGGTGTATAGAAGATCTCCTCATCTGGGGTTGATTGCGTGGCATCATGCAGCTTTTGTGGTGTCTCAAACTTAATAAGCTTCTTGTTTATAATGGCACCGGGGATGCGGGTAATGGGCGTTATTGGTGGCACCGCCACATTGGCACCTACATCGCCGGTTGCTGATGCGATGATCTCGACACTCTCGCATGAATTGAAAACGGTGCTGGTACTGGCGCTTGAGGCAGATGCAGCCAATGAGCCACTTTTGGCGCAATGCTGTGTGCGTGTTATGATAATTGATTCAGTGGTTAGCTTTTGGGCCGACAGCACTATCTGGTATGGCTCAACCGGGCTCAAAGAGCCGCCAGCCTGATTGGCCACGACACTTTCCTCTACGCTCTGCGAACGTCGCACCACCGGTGAGATGCGAAGATCCAATGCCAGTGCCGACTCTGATGGGTTGTTCTCGCTCAGATCTAGACGCATGCGCCGTTGTGCCCCATGTCCTGTGGCCAAAATGCCCACGCCATGCTCCACGAAGGCCTTCTGTATGCTTCTTGACATGACCTGACGCAGTGGGGTCGCGCCACTAATTTTGCGGCGGCCACCTATCTTCCAGGCACGCTGCTGCTGTTGCTGGTGCGGCTGATTGCTGTCCGGCGGTGCGGGAACCGGGTTTTGCTCATCCAGCACATAGCCGCTGTGATAGATGCTGGACATGTGAGCGCCACCAACGGCAGACCCATTAAAGGTGAGCGTATCCTTGGGCTTAGCGAACATGGTTTCCACCGCCAATGGCGTTGACGTCGACCGTATTACTTTGCCCTTTTCGGGCAATGCGGTCAGCAGTCCAATGCTGCGACGTTGCTGTACCGACAGGTTAACGCTATCCGAGGACAGATTGCGTATCGAGGAGACGCTGTCGCTGTTAAGTTCCTCCTGAGTCAATCGACTCTTGGCTTTCCAACGAAGATTGAATAACGATATCGGCGTTAGGTTTGTGTGATGTTGCTGGTCCTCCTGCGGCTGCAATTGCAGCAGTAGTTGCTGCTGAGATCCTTGCATGCCTTTGGCTATGCTGGGCGACGTTTGTGTCGATATTGAGCTGGCGGCGACGTTTGCCCTTTTCAACGTTACCTTTAAAGCGCCCGTGTCGCAGCTCTGATTCTGCACCGAACTAGCCGCGCTGCAATCCTGGCCAACATTCACACACTTGGTGAACTCACGCAAATCCTCGATTCTCGTGTAGTTTCGTTGGCATTTGCGACAGCGCAGCGGTAAATGCACGCTCTCGATATGAGCCATCAACTCGGCGTACATTTCCTCATGCAGCGCAAGCGGCTTCTGTTCACATATCGGGCAGAAAACATAGACGATTGCGCTTACAGGTGCGGCTGCATTGGCGATTTCATTGCAAGAGCTAACTATTTTAGTGCGCTGAGCCACAGCAATGGCGTGCGCTTCAAATTGATGCTTTTGGCGGCAAGTGGCGCAACAGAAGATTCGCTTGCAAATTTGGCACTTGGCCTGCAAAGCGTATTGACAGTATTGAAGTCGCTTAGAAATTGGCATAATTTGGGCTGGCTTACCTCTTCGAAAGAACGCATGTACATCGTTGTCTATTGTATTGGGTTGAAATGGCGCACAAAAATTTATATTTCAACATGAGTTTGACTTTTACATACTGATATATAGACATACAATTTCAACGGTTCTCTTACATGTGACGCCGATAGGCGAATATCGCTCGTTATGAAGAATACTAAATAATCGACTGGCTATAAATATATCGAAAGGTTTAGGGTGGCCTAATATTATTCGTAACCTAATACACTTTTGCCGATAAATCAACTTGAGCCCAGAACATACGTATAATTTTTTAGAAAAATTCGTTGGCGTTGCATAAACATCAATTATAAATTTAATTGCAGTGTCTCACGATGCGTTTGCTAAATGTGGGGAACCGTGTCGTCGCTATGCGTTTGCGCTTGGGTGAGAAATTCACGCTGCCGGACCGCTTTAAGGGCACCACGGTGGAGAAGTGGGCCAACTACTGGAAAGGACTGATGAGTGATTACGCTGAAGTAGCCACAAGCGTCGTCAAGGAGTCGTACGCGAGGCCGAAACGAACCCTTATTTATGGCACGGCCATCGTAGCACTATACCAGATGGCCAAGAATAACCCAGATCAGTATGCCTTCTCCTCGCTATTGCGAACACAAACAAACCGCATGATAACGCTGCCGCCGGAACAGCAAAATTCCGAATCAAGCGATTATCTCGTTATGCTGGAGCGTGCCATCAATCAGAATAAGCTACGCCTCCTCAACCTAGGCATCTGCACGCTTCTGTGGGTGGACATGTTCGATGAGGATGATTGCACCTATCCGGCCATTTGTGAATACACCACAGTGAACTATTTAAGTTTTCATGAGCGCATCATAGACGTTGGCTTCTGGAACCAGTACTGGCGTCTCAAGTGGAAAATGCACAATTACGATGTCAACTATCTGTGATGCTCCGAACCAAATGCCGTGATTCTCAATTTTTTTGTTAAATGTGCTTAGTCATGTTTAATATCATACAATGTACATCCATTTAAAAGAAAACGAAATAGTACAATTTAGCATTTGTAAGCAGAGAAGGCCTTCATGTTCTTTACGAGGCGCTTGCTGGCTCAGCAATCGGTTTTTTCGGCCTAAAATGCGCCTCCAACAGTGCGGTGCAATTCTGCAGCTTGGCCAGATTGTTAATTTTGCCCTGGAAACTGTTTTCCTTGCCATTGCCCTTGCCCTCGAGTAGTTCGAGAAACTGCGGTCCCAACTCCTGCACCAGCATCGGATCGCCACGCAAGACCATGTGCCCCTTAGCAACACTGCCGACCGAGATGCCTTCGGATACCGTCAGAAAATAGAATATCTCTTCCGGCGCATTGCGCAAAAATGTAGTGGTGAAGTCCACCTCGATGCCATCGCGTCGATGCAAGGCAAAGTACTTGGGACGCATTGCCTTGGGTACATTCTCTAGGCGTTCGGCCTCCGCGTTGGCGAAATCCTTCAATAACTGCACGAACGACTTGCGTGTGGATTTGACATTTTGCTGCAGCTTCTGCAACAGCTCCAGATGCTGATGGGCGCCGCACCTATGAGTGATTGCAATGGAATCGATTGATGAGTGGGTTGCATGAGGGCATCATGATCACAGCCATGATTATGAACAACTACTCACTTTAGAGCCGCGGTGAGCTGTTGCTCGCGCTGAAAGATCTCGCCCAGCTTGCGAAGGCAACGTTCGCCGACAACAAAATGCACGTGAACATTTGACTTGACCTTCTCGGCGTAGATCAGTTTTATGCACTGCAGTTGCGACAGATTTGTGACGTGTGTGCCACAGCACATGTTCGATTCGATGCCTTCGATGCGAACAACACGAGCCAATCCCTCATGGTCCTTGGGCAGGCCACGCGGTGCGCGTGCATCCTGAAAATCCTGTGCCATCTCTGGATCCACCAGCAGCACGCTGACAATGCGTCCCTCGCGTATTAGATCATTTGCCTGCCTTTCAATTAGATCGAGTGATTCGCGGCTGATCAAATGCGGTGTGCTCAGCTGTATATAAGAAACACTGGGGCCCAGTGACCAGGATGTCGTGTCATACTTGAATTCGCGATCAAACAGAGCCGTGATTAGATGCTGACCGGAATGCTGCTGCATGTGATCCAGCCGGCGTGGCCAGTCCACCAGCTGCTGCACGGTGGCGCCCTCCTCAAAACTGCTGGACGACTCCACAAAGTGTACGGCTGTGCTGCCTTTCCGCAGAACACTACGCACCGGCTGGCCATTGATGGTGCCATAGTCGCAGGGCTGGCCGCCACCCTCGGGGAAGAGTATGGTGTCCTCGCAGACCACATTAAAGCCGCGCAGCTGACGTGTCTCTGTGGTGCTGTTGCTCCCCTCTCCGCACCACTCCAACGTGGCATAGTCGCAGGAGACAACGGACGTCTGAAACTGCAGAGAAGGATTAATAACTAGCTTGAGGGTAGCAAGCAACCTTTTAATTGACCTGCTTTTGGTAGCTGTCTTCCTGACATTTGAACACCATGGTGCTGCCAGCAGTTGCTGATAACTTGATTATGAAACCTGTCTGAAGACGTAGCGCACAGCGGCTGCAACCGGAAACAACAACAACAAATGCAAATGCACCACGTAATGTAAGCGTAACTCGCGCTCCGTTTGCGCTACGTTTGCTGCTCGCCTTGCTCTTTTTTGCGTCCATGCACTCTATGTTGGCTTACGTTTTTTGGACTCACGTCGTGTAAGCATTCGAGTTTGGGGCACATAAATTGATTAAAAAATATTAAGGATATGTCACCATTCTTTATGTTTAACAATATTCGACAACGAATTTAGTAAATACATTCATGTTGTATGTAGAAAACAGATGTAGCTTTTCTATAGTGCTTTTTTGGCCTCAATTGTTGCTTTTTTTTGCTTTGCTCATTTCTGTCATTTACAAAGTGCCAGTCCCAACCCACCCCAAATAATGACATCTCATTCTAATTGGCGCTATCCCAATCGTTGAGTGCGCGGGCGCACAATTGAGCAGCGAGTTCAATATCTGGCATTGTGGTATTATTGTGGGTCCGCTCAACAGTTTCTTGCCATCGTCCTGCAGGCTTAGCAGCTCCTGGCGCGCTCGCCTTTTCAGTTGCTAGGTTTTACGCTTATAAGGTTATTATATATACAATACATATACATATAAACTGATATTAAGATATCAACGGGGCGAATAGCGTTTAATGCCTATTATACCACCCACCTCACCTCCCCTCCCCCATTACTCGCTACGTGCAAGTCAAGCAAGCAATTTGAACAGCGTCCTTTACGTTGCATTCGCTCGCTCTGTTATCGCTTCGTTGTCGCAGAGCAATCGTTTCGTTATATAAGGCAAGCGGACAAATTTGCGAGAGTGCTTTCTTTGTCTGTATTTATATTTGTATGTGCTAGATGAAAACTGGCATAGAAAGTTCTTTATTAAAATTATTCGTAATTCAAACGCTGATGGTACGAGTTACTTTAGCCAAAAAATTATAATATATGTGTAGAAGCCAAGTTAAGTTAATTATAAAATTCAAATGTGGAATGCTGCATCCGCACGAGAATAACTTAAACAAAAACGAAACGAAAATCGTGAAGATGAATGTGTATTGGCATATTTACACAAAAGTGTAATTTAAGATTAAGGTACTCAATGCCTGACCTTAGCACACTATCAGTCAAAGGAAAAGAGCACATTTCAACGAAATCCATTATACTAGTTAAGTATTTAACCATCAGACCAGGCAGACAGACAAAACTAATGGCTTTTGTGCACCTTATCAGCATGTGTTATAGAAACACAGTCGCATTAAATGTTCATTATTAGCTCTGCTTCCTCTTGTATGTGTGTATGTGTGGGTGAGTAGGTGTAAGTGAGCGTGGGCGGATAAATGTAAAATAGTTCAGTTGATTGATTTATAGCATTCCGCATGAGACCTGAATGAAAGCAAATGCACACACTTATCGCCGTGTCTGTGCGCCATTGAATAATTGTTTTCCATGGTACGTTACGTTTCTGATGTTTAAGTTATTCAACGCATTTTGCCTGCATTCACATTTCGTTTAGCACTCCGTAAAAGGCGCAAATTTAAAGTGCTCGGATATTTTAGCTTGACGCACACAAGTATTCAACGAAAATGTCAGTTACACAAGCAGTTGTAATTTAGCAAGCAAAGAATTTTACAAGCAGCCCAACACGCACACGCACAGATATTGCTGAATGCAACCGCACATATCTAAATTGCAACAGCTACAACTACAAATTCAACAAGAATAAAGAGAATAGCAAATTTTGAATAACAAGAGCTAAAACCACAATCTTCCGTTTACCGTTTACGATAATGGCCAATACAGCGCAACTGTTGCGCCGCCAAAGCTCACGCGATATTGTGCTTAAGACCCAAAAGAGCCTCGATCAGTTGGAATTGCGGGTGAGTGGATATTGTTATTAAGCTACCTGAGCGATCACTAGTTTAATATGTGCCTGCATGCGCCAAAGGAGCTGCGTGGCCGTCTGGTGCCCAAGGAGCATGGCGTCAGCCATCATCATCACACATCGCTGCATCTACATCATCAGCCCATGTATGGTGCAACAAATCAGGGCTTCATGTCCGATGCCTTTGACGAGTCATCGGAACTGGAACAGGAGCTGCCCTTTGGCTCCGATGCCAGCACCAGCAAAACCAAGGCCGAGTTGGCCGCCTTTGTTGATCAGCAGCAAGAGGACATCGTTGAGGGCGAAAAAGAGGGGGACGAGCGCGAAAGTTGGGATAGCAAGGTCATGTTCCTGCTGGCCACAATAGGGTAAGTCGGCAAAGATACTAACTCAGAAATACTATATGAATGTGTATATATAATAAGAAATATTAAGCTATGACATTAATATACAAAATGACGATAAAGTTGTAGAAATATTCTAAAAAATTTAGTGAATTTTGGGGAATTTTGTTGGAACAGTTTCCTAGTAACCTTCCTTCCAAGTTTTGTAACTGTAGCTCTTAAATTACGGGAGATATGGGCTTTTGGAAATTGTGGGGTGGAAGTGGGGGTGGTCTAAAAAAAGTATTTTTACGGGTATAACTAGCAATATAATTTTCAAATTTGGTCGTTCTAGCTTTCAAATTGTGTGTTGTGTATTGGTTTGGAGAGATGGTGTGGACGTGGCCATCCTGCTTTTTATTGATGTCTTTGGGGAGATACCAGTAACATACTTTCAAAATTTGATGACTATAGCATTATATATGTGGCTTTATCGTTTTGCTATTATCGATCTCCTAGCCCCTATTGGACGTAGCACTCCAATTTTGTCTGACGCGTACACAGATCAGTATATGTTCCAAGTTTCAAGTTTCTATCTCTATGAGTGTCAAAAATAAGTTGCGTTCGTACAAACGGACAGACATACGAACGGACACCTTTCGGTATCAAAGTATGACAAAAAATCAAAGTGTAATTGAATTGCAAAATGTATTTGAAAATCTTTCTCATCCATAGCTATGCAGTTGGATTGGGCAACGTGTGGCGCTTTCCATATTTGGCGCAAAAAAATGGCGGTGGCGCCTTCCTGGTGCCCTACTTCATAATGCTGTGCATTCAGGGCATACCGATCTTCTATCTGGAGCTGGCGATTGGGCAACGACTGCGCAAGGGCGCAATTGGCGTATGGAGTCAGGTGTCGCCATATCTCGGGGGCATTGGCATATCCTCAGCGGTGGTCAGTTTCATTGTGGCGCTGTACTACAATACGATAATTGCCTGGTGCCTGATCTATCTGCTGCACAGCTTTGAGTCGCCATTGCCGTGGGCCAACTGTCCGACGCGCCTCTACAAGAACTATACCTACGATCACGAGCCGGAGTGTGTGGCTTCGTCGCCAACACAGTTCTACTGGTATCGCACCACGCTGCACTGTTCAGAGAGCGTTGACATGCCGGACAGCTTCAACTATCACATGGCAATTGCACTGATTGTGTCCTGGTTTCTGGTCTATATATGCATGGTGCAAGGAATTACATCGTCCGGCAAGATCGTCTACATGACCGCCATCTTTCCCTATGTGGTGCTCATCATCTTCTTCTTTCGGGGCATCACACTGAAGGGTGCCGCCGATGGTGTGGCGCATTTGTTTACGCCGCGCTGGGAAACACTGCTCGATCCGGTCGTGTGGCTGGAGGCCGGCACACAGATCTTCTTTTCGCTGGGCCTCGCATTTGGCGGCCTGATCGCCTTCAGCTCATACAATCCGGCCAACAACAATTGTTATAGGGATGCGATACTCGTCTCGCTGACCAATTGCGGCACCTCCATGTTTGCCGGCGTCGTCGTCTTTTCGGTGATCGGCTTCAAGGCAACGGCGATCTTCGATCGTTGCACGGAGGAGCGTGCCGGATTAGTCGCTCTAAATCGGACATACAATCTGCCCATATGCGACTTAGAGCAGGAGCTGGCTAATGTAAGTCTCAAATAAAAAATCGAAATTTAGTTAAAATATAGTTATCTTAAGCACGCCAAAGTCTTAATTAAAGAGGCTTACTCGCGAATTCGAATAAGGAGCAAACGGGAATAATTTAATCGGTTCAGTATTAACAATATTATGGTACAAGACAAGCACTTATCTTTGGACCGCTGCTGTTACAATGGCTAAATGATATTTTGATATGTACGGCCAGCAGCAAGAAGACGGATATTTTCCATGTTTTTGTTATCATAATTAAAATCATTTTGATTTTATTTTTTTTTTTATTTTTCTTTTTTTCTCTACAGAGTGCATCCGGCACCGGATTGGCGTTCATCATCTTTACGGAGGCGATCAATCAGTTTCCCGGCGCCCAACTCTGGGCAGTGCTCTTCTTTCTCATGCTCTTCACGCTGGGCATCGATTCGCAGTTTGGAACGCTGGAGGGCGTCGTCACATCACTGGTGGACATGAAGCTCTTCCCCAATATGCCCAAGGAGTATATCGTTGGCGTATGTCCTCTTGATATAATTAATTTAAAATTGATATCTTAGTCCCTACATCCCCATTTCTATTCAAATAGGCATTGTGCCTCTCTTGCTGCATGATTTCCATGTGCTTTGCAAATGGTGCCGGCAGCTATATCTTCCAGCTAATGGACAGCTTTGCTGGCAACTTTCCGCTGCTGATCATCGCACTCTTCGAGTGTTTGTCGATCAGCTACATCTATGGCGTTAGGCGTTTCTCGGATGACATTGAGATGATGACCGGGTCGAGGCCGGGCTTCTATTGGATGTTCTGCTGGAAGTACTTGTCTCCTTGTGCCATGATCACCATTCTGCTGGCCTCTTTCTATCAACTGGTAACCGAGGGCAGCAGCTATCCTGCTTGGATTGCTGCCAAGGGTGCCACGGATAACATGGAGTGGCCACATTGGTGTATTGTCATTGCCTTCGCGCTCATACTCTCATCCATTCTGTGGATACCTATGGTGGCAATATTACGGTAAGTGATTTTATACTCTGATACCAAAGCTATACGAGTCCGTCGGGTTGTCCCACAAAGTTAAAAAAAATTGGTTGCAAATTCCACTAGAGAGCTGTAAAATCGAGAATTGCAAATGGATAAAGAAACATATCTCCCACATTTTTAAAGTTAGGCGATGTCCTTCAAAGATCGGCATCCGCCACAAAAATCAGAAATGATCCCGCAGCTGTAGAGGTTATGTTACCAAAACCTTGGGAGGTAAATTACTAGTAACCTTCTCCCACATTGAAAAGCCTATATATCCTGCAATTTTAGAGCTGAAGTCACTAAATTTGAAAGGCACATTAATGATTATTCAATGGCCGAGGCACACCTTCTCACCCTCAAAATATACGTTGCCACCCACTATCACTCACCCGACTGTAACATTCTCACTCAATAGCAGTTGCATAACTAGTTCATGCAATGGCTTTTTCATAGCTCTCTCCTAACTGATTCCGATTGTTATTCATCCTTGTCTAGTCTGTGCGGCATCAAGGTGGTGGAGGATTCGGATCCCGCTTGGTTCCCCGAGGCCGAGCTGAGGGAGGTGCATGGCATTGTACCCCACGAGCCCACTGAGTTGGAGCGCAGTGTTTTCTGCTTCAACATGGACGGCACGGAGGGTATGTGCTGTCCCAAATACGGACTTCCCGAGAAATCTCTCGAGGAAGACGAGGAGTAGGTGTAGACGCTGCATGACGCAGCAACGATGACAATAATATAATATATATATATATATATATATATATAGATATATAATAGTAGATATATAATATATATACGAATTGAAAATGCATAAGTCACAACTTACTGTAAATATGGACAATAACTAAAGCAAAACTCTCTCACCGATGAAAAGCAGAATCGGTACTGGAATCTAATCCTTGTATGTATGTATATGTTCCCAAAGACTGCTCGAAAGGCAACAACAATCCACGATATAATAATGATGACAAAAGAACAGTAACCACGACGACAATAGATAGAAACAATTGTGAACTCAACAACAAAACCAAACACACAGAACAAAAAGCAAAAAAAAACATCGCAAAACAACTAAAATCTAGATTCTAGATAATAATTCCGCATTAATTCATTAGTATGTTCAATGCTCTACGATAATGCTGCGCGATTTGTATAAGGCAGATGGCATAGAAAACAGTTAGTAACACTAATACAAAAAACACGTACGTGAAAGATATATTTATTTTTATATTTATTAATATGAAAAACGGTGAGACCCATCACCGTACTCTCATATGTGCATACATATATACATACATATTTAATATTCAGTTGTGTTATGGTGTAACCCACATACTATATATGTACTACATATCCAATTTCGTATAGTACGATTTGATGTTGAATATTTAATTTATAGTTACAAAGAAACAGACGAAAAAAATGCAAAGAGAAATTGACGACAACTTGACAAACTGGATTGCTAAGATTGCTGACTATATATAATATATATAACTATTTATAAATACTTATATTGTATACTCTCATCATGCATACTGTTAGTATTAGTACATTGTATTGTACTATTGTTTGTTTAGCATCCCTAAGCATTTAACACTGTTTACACTTATAAAGCGTTTCAAATGCAATTTTTTTGTTTTATATTAAATACTATTATAAATATTATTAGATTTCGCTTATGCTACGCATACAAAAGTATGCTCAATATTACGTGTATTTTTCTTGATAAAGCAATTTTTAAATCATACCATACACTTTAAGTTATACACGGACTATATGTATCGATAAAATATTACCTATTACGACAGACCACCAACAAATGGAGGAACAATAATGTAATGCCTTCACTAATAAAAATTGCAAACAAACAAATACTAATTTGCATACAAATATACTTGCCTCAATCAGCTTTCTGTGTTGCTGCTAAAGTACGAGCATAATGAAAAAAAATCCGAACCCATTAAATTACTAGGGAAGCAGACATCACGCTAGAAAGATATCCTGTAACCAGTTCATATTAAGAAGAAATATGTTTATATATACAGGGTCAGGGATGACGACTCATACTGCCTGTTTAAATACATTATGCATACATTTATTTTATATCCATTTTATGGGTAGAGCATATACAATACAATCTAAATGTTATAGGTGTTTTCTTTGCTCTAATCAATATTATACACACAATTGTTAAAATAAGCAAATCTCATTGATTTCAAATATACATTTATATTAACAAATTAAGCCGGCTTGAAGTGCAGTCATATTGTATCTATGATCTTGCAATATACATATACTGGAGTCCATAAGAAGCAAACTCTAGCTAGCATCAAACGTGATAAGGGCCAGCGTTGTATTTATACATATATATGTTGCACTACTAAGCACTTAGTGGTAGCACATACCTTTGGGCTCCGAGCATTACGAGTTTTACAGTTACGATGAAATAAGTATACATACACATACATACAATTTTTTTACAAATACACCCAAACATATGTTAAATGCCTATAAAAACGAAACCGTTCATCCAGCCGAATTGAAATCGAAATCGATTAATATACTAAGAAAAGAACTCTATATATAATTATATACATAAATTAAAAATGTAAAACTATGTACTAGAAATATAATTTTTGACGGGCTTCCTTTTAAATTTGGCCCTTTGGCAACCCTCATTGATATCAGGCACAATTTGGACATTTGGATTGTCAACTCTCGATAAACTTTTAAAGTGCTTTGAAAAAAAACAGTAAAGTAATATCACTAAGCCGCCAAGGAATGGAGGCATCAAATCGACAAAAAATTAATTACAAGAAAATCTTTGGCCCGGCGACCCACGGCTGTTTCGGATCTTGAAAGCAGTGACAGGAAGCCAGCGCGTCGCAAAATGTTGCAGGCTAAGCGAGTCCGAGCAGCGAACACAAGTCAATGCTTAACTTGTCTCTTTGCGTTATATTCTCTAATAGAATAGATTTCGCATGTCAAAAGAATGATACCCTCTTTTAAATTTGAACCATACATTTTGCGGTCTGTGGCCACAAAATTGGTTAACAGTTATAACACCCCACTCTACAAAAGTTTACAGATCAGACCCAAAAACTAAAAAATGTAAAATTGAGTGCCAGCTTGCACACGAAAATACATATAAAATAATCTTATTCCTACTCGGACGCATACTCATAAAGGGGTGGGTCTCTATTCTATTAGAGAATATGTCGCAAAGAGACAAGCGACGCGCTGGCTTCCTGTAGCTTCTTTCAAGACCCGAAGCAGCCGTGGGTCGCCGGGCCAAAGTTATTTTTGCTATCAACTTTTTGTGGATTTAACGCATCTTACTGTTGTCTGCTTAGTGTTATAATTAATATTTTGTTTATTATATGAAGAAAAGGCAGCCCTGATAATTATTAAAGAAGTTATCATCGCATTATGCATATCTCATCATATTGCAACAACTCATTATGCATATCTCTCCACATTAAAAAAAAAAACTCGAAGGATTTCCATATACAATTATATACATATATATATATATATATATATATATATATATATATATATATATATATATATATATATATATATATATTTATTGTTACTAAATGTGCAATGCAACAACTAATTTATTTAATAATTTTACAATATTTACACAAAAAAACATTAATACACATTTATATATAGCAACAATTATATAGTATATACATACGTGCACATATAACTGTATTAAGTGTTATCCATGTTAATAATAATTATGAAAGACGTTTTAAAACCATATACAAGAACACTTTACCCCCCAAAACCCGACCCACAGTTTGCCAGAATGCCCCACTTTAACAAGACAATTATTTAATCAAACTAAACCAATCAAACTCTAAAAAAAAACGTTATCATAAGAGGATATCTTATACACAGATATCAAATAAAAATTCAATATTGTAATTTCAGTTGATGAATTGTTTATTATATATCCACGATTATAAATATTGTATTTTGTTCAAAATAATGTGAAAAAACAAAAATTGTACTGACAAAATTCCAAGGATAATATGTAATTTTATGATAAAAGTATAAAAGGAAACTTCAATATCATGACGACTATGTTGAAAGTGTGCCAATGCAAAACTATAACAATAGTTTACCTAATGACAATAAAGAAATTGTGTAAAACGTTAAAGGTAACAACCTTTTAATCGATTTCTCAATCTTGAGTAAGAAATTCTAAAACGGCTTAAAAATCGGTGACATCCGAAAGAAACTTTTCGATGCTCAACGCTTATATTAGCGAAAACCAAAATGAAGATTAAATTATTATTTTGTAAAAGCCAATTTCTAATGGGTAAAAAAATGAAATTGAAATAGATTTGGAATAATTTAAGCAGAAAGCAGAAGAAGCTAATCTTAAATTCAAATGGAGCGCATGCTACAAAACTCTTAACTTTAGCTTTCCGTTAAATGATCGCTGTGATTCGCATATCATGTGCAACTAAGCGCGAACAGCTTTGAGTGGCAATGGATCTAGCTATCTTTCCACAAGAGCCATTCTTAACGGCAAGCGAAACTATGATTCTGAATTGATAGCAGTTGTGGCTGTGCCCCTTTTGCACGACTGACTATCACGTGGCAGCTGCCCCTCCGTTTGTCCTTCTGCCTTGCCGCAGTGAAGCGCAATAAGCGGAAACAGATGCCAAGCGTTGGCCAGCCGGGTAATCAGGTAGCTGGTCAGCCAGGTAGTGGAACTGGTCTTGGCTGCCACTTGCGCATCAAATTAACAACACATTACAACTTGCCATGGGCTTTGCTGTTGCTGGTTTTGTCAGTGTTTCGCGTGTGCCGTTTCGCTGCTTACTTTGCTTATATGCATTTGAACATTGTTGTGGCTCCGTTGATTATACATACAAATTTTAAAAGCTTTGAATAAATGTAGATGGACATGCGGCCATGCGAACACACTTAAGAAGCGACAAAAAATACAAATTATGCTGCTGCATTGATGTTGTTTTTGCTGCTGTTGTTGTTGTTGTTGTAGCTGCGACACCTGCACACAAATTGTTGGCATAGTTTTCGTTGCACTGCCAACACGAAAGCACAAATAGGAACAACAATCGACATCTCCAATCGATTGATAACAGACAGCTAAATGGTAAACCAAACCAGCAACAACGATGCCAACAGTGACATCGACGTCAACAGCACGACAACAACTAGTCAACCTTAGACGAACGAGCCTAAACAAACCGAACCTCAGGCGTAATCACATCCACAAAAACAAAAATAGCAGCAGCTACAGAAACAACAATGACAACCAATGTGTTGAATAGAAAAATAAGATATGCACAGCCAATGATTGGCAGAGTGAGAGTGACAGAGAGAGGGGGCGTGAGTTGCAGATGGTGATGAAGAGAGATAGAGAAAGACAGTCAATCTATTGAGCTATGCTCAGGTACTCATGCACACATACATGTATGTACATATGAGGCAGGCGAAATAAATGAAATAGCTAAGACGAACGCCGCAAAAGTTGACGTTCATGTGCGGCCAACAGTGGTATGCACAGTGGACTGAATGAATGCAAATCCGTTAACTGGTTTTATTGAGTAGTGAGACAACCGCAACAACAAAAATTACAGGTTTTTGGAAATTCAACATTATTTAAATATATTTTAATTTGCCATAAAAAGCAATCTCTGAATTTATTATTAGTATTCGGAATTTTTAAGTGCTTAATATCAGTCAGCTTTAAATGTTTTGATCTTGCGTGCTCGAAATGTTTCTTCCTGCATACGGAGTATTCACAAATGAATTGTTAGTAACAATAAATGTATAGTGGGAAGAGAAACAAAACGTTTCTTCAAAATAAATGAATCAAATTGTAAAGATCATTTTGGAGAAACTGTGCAGCTTGGGGCAGTTGCGGCAGCCGCACACAATTAACTTAGGCAACAAACGAGCACTACAACAATAACATCGGCAATAGCAACAGGCAACAGGTGGGTTGCGGAGGGATTTCTGCCATGGGGTGTGTTTGCTGACGCTGTTTTTCTACCAACGTTGGCGTCGTCTGCGTCGTCAGCTGCGCCTGCGCACGTAAACAAATTCTCAACGCGCATTGTTTTTGCTGCTACTGTAGACTGCGTCAAACCAACTTTTATGACTGCGATTGCTGCTCACTGCTGATTTGCTGTTGTTTTTATTGTTTTTTTGTGTGTGTTTTTTTAAAGTAATTTCGTTGCCGTCGCTGCTGCTGCTACTTCGGCTTTCTGGAATTTTTGTTGTTTTCTTGAAAGCCAAAATTAAAAAAATAAAAAAATAAGAGAAACAGCAGCAGCAGCAGAGACAGCGCCGGCCATCGCGGCAGCGAAAGAGGCACGTAGAAAAATACAACAAATAACAGCAACAACAATACCAACAAAAAATTCCTGGCAAAACACGCAAACCCAGCGCGACTTTGTTGCTGTGGTTTTCAGTTGCCAGCGCGGTTTTGAGTGAGTCGTACGCGCAGCGTCGCTTTGAGGCGCCCAAAATAACAAAAAATCGAAATCGAAACCAAAACCAACAGCCAAAATCCATAACTCGAAATTCTGCAAGAATCGTGCGTGTGTGCGCGTGTATGTATATGTATATATATATATATACGTGTGTGTGAGTGTGTGTCTTTAAACTACGCCCACCATCCCCCACAGGCTACACAATCTGTTTTTTTTTGTTTGCTTTTGCTGTTTTTTCTTTTTTTTTCGTTTGGTTTATTAATTTCGTGCTGATGTGTTTCGTATGCCGCCAAATGAAATTTGTGTGCAATGAGCGACGAATGCAGGCCAACAGCAACAACAACAACAGCGACAGCAGCAGCTACAATAATAACTTTAATATTTAGAGATATTGGAGCCTTGTCCGCCTGCTTCATTTGCAGACTGGATATCCCACAACTGGACAACTTGGCCAGGTTCAAGTGCAACCAGTTACCAGTTTCCAGAAATATAGCAACAACAATAACAGCAGCAGTATTAGCAACAGCTTTAGGCAGAGCTCAAGCTCCAAAACTCGAGAACCGAGTTCCACTTGACGGTAATTCCAATGTATATATCAAGTATGTAAATTTTGTTTTTTACCGTGTTATTTCTTAAACTTTTTTATTTGCAATACTCTATTAGTATCGATGATGTGTTTATTCACTTTGTGAGCATTCAGAGACATTGAATTATGTATCATTCAATGATCTTTGGGATATAAATATAATAAAGGATCATTTAGCTTCGGATATGACATTACCAAAATCTCTTATTTAATTTCAATACTAAATATTCGAAATTCCAATATGTCCATCAAAAAATCTCAATTGGAGCGTATGAAGTAGCCGTAAATTCTTTGCACATGCCAAAGGATTTCTGAGCCGGTTTTTTTTTTATTATTTTTATTTTATGAGTGTGTTTTTTTTTGTTTTCACTGCTTTGAATGCGGTTGTGTATTAATCATTATTATAATGATTATTGTTATTTCCAATTTTATTGCCGTCGTTGTTGTTGCTGTTAGGTTATGTTGGCTTTTGCAAGGCTCTTAACATTTATTATTGAGCGGCGTCTTTCTACGAACCGGGTCTGAACATCTTCGGCTTAAATGTCAAGCTCATGCTGGGAGTCACCATTCACCCAGCCAAGCAGTCAGAGAGTCACCCAATCAGTCAGTTGATCAGATTGGTCAATTGGCCAGGTCTTGTAGGTGTAGCATAATTTTTCTCTGTCGCTGTCTTTCTCTCTCTCTATCTATCTCTCTCTCTCTCTCTGTCTTTTTTACTTATGCATTCCGTTTTATTCTGTGTTATTGCAGGTACTTATAAAATCTACATGCGGCCACCTAACTGTAAAACGCACTGTGTAACGGTCATCCGCAAATAGCAAGTGGAAATTGCGCAATAGCAGCAGCAGCAACAGCAGCAGCTAGATGAGCAGAAAACAAACTGTAACCACAACAACAACAAGCAAAATACATTCTCGGCAATTACATAAAAATTGAAACTAGAAATTGGCGGCGCATCCAATTACCAAATGCTTTTGTTGCTGCCAGAACTATGGCAACAACAACAAAAACTATGGCAACAGCAGCTGCAACACTTGGAAGCGTATACCAACAGCAACAGCAGCCACAAACGCCGTTGCGCGGTATATCAATAATAATTGAATCTGAGCAACCAGCTAAGCCGTCAGGCAACAACATTGAAAGCGACGAAATGTCGCTCAAGTCGCAGACAATGTTGTTGGCATTTGGCGACAGCAGCAACAGCAGCAGCCTCAACAACAATAACAACAGCAACAACGATTGTAATTTACAGACGCTGCACGTTGACCATGCAATGAATGTTGATTTGGAAACTCGTTACAGCACCGTAGCAACAACAGAAACAATAACAACAGCATGTGCATCTACAACTGCAGCAGCAGCAGTAACAACTAAGCCAGCAACAAACTTGTATCCACAGCTGCTACTGCGCATTGGGCAAACCGTGGCCGATGTTGAGTCTGTATCTCTTAACGGAGAAATGGCGCCAGCAGCAGCAGCTGATGCTGTAGAAATAAAACTAGCAGCAGCAGCGTCGTCAACAGCAGCAACTATTATCAGCTGCAATGTTGCCGATGACGTTAGAAACGTGTTGCAAGCTGAAACTGTAGTCGGTGAAATTGAAAAAGGCAGCAGCTGCAGCAACAGCAACAACGATGACGGCGTTACTCAGTTAACGTTGGTCGATTGGCCAATGAGTGCTGTGACCGAAACAGTTGGCATCTTTGCGCCTCAGCACACGGTCAAGATACAGATTGCTAACGATCAGAGTTTGAATTTAATTCAAAGTCAAAACCCACGCCGGCTAGGCAAACAGATAAGCGTGGTAAAGCTGAATGACAGTCGAAGCGGCAGCGATATGATATTACAACTAAAGCAACATCAACAACAACAAGAGCAGCATTCACAAGCTGTGTCACCGTCTGTTACGGCGCCTTATCAGCTTTGCTATTTGGTGTCCAGTGGCCAATACTCGCCCTGCGAGACTCTGGATAGTGGTACTGGCAGTGATTTCGAAAGCAACAAATTGCCCAGCAGCAACGGCAATAGCAACAATAGCAGCAACAGCAACAAAAATGAAGCACCCAAGCTGGAATTGCATCTGAAGACGACACGCATTCGAGTGAATACCTCGAGTGAGCAATCTGTCATGCATTCGCATTCGCAATCACATTCACGAGCCTACAGCTTGACAGACGATAGCGAGGAGTGTGATGAAAGCAGCTCCTCGCTGAGCTGCGATTCGTTGCATTCGAATGAGGCACAACCGCTGCTCAAATTGGGCGCACTGTTGCCAAGTTCGCTGCTCCGCGATATACGCGATAGGGAGGTGCATGGGAATGAACGCATTGTGGGTGCAACAAAAGTCGATGGACGACCGCTGCAATATGAAGCGGATCAATATTACAATTTCCATGTGAATGAGCATGCAAATTTTCGCAGTTTTGTTACGGAGAGCTGCAGCTCAATACCACCGGAATTTGAGGCGATCAGATTGCCCAGTGATGGCACAGATCAGCAGCAGGAGCATGGGGACGAGTTGCAGGTGCCCGAGGAAGAGGAAGATAATGCCTTCGCCGGTTACAAAGCTATGCGTAGCACCACACACCAAGCATCAACAATACGCTCCTCTAAGGGAACCGTGCGCGGCGTCAAGAATCGTGTGCGCAATGGAGTAGCCACCTTCTTACAGCTGCAACAACCAAATGTCAAAGTGAGTAACAATGCTAAATGCTTTGGATTGGGTTTTGTTTTATTCTTAAGTACAAATAAGAGCACTCAAAGATTAACGCTGAAGTGCAAAGTCCGATACAGCAGAATTTCCGAATTAGGTGAGAGTTTGTTATTGGATATCCCAGTCTGAGCTTGAGTTTACCTCAGTTGGTGTCGATTGGCTGGACTTTATTCATATTTTGTATAAGCATACAGTGTCTCTCAGCTCATAAGGCCCAGTGTCTAGCAAAAAATTTAATTGCCTGCCATAAACTAATTATCCAATATTTTTTAAAAATTCCAAAGACCGATGGTAGGTACATGTATTAACCACCATAATGAATATATGATCCCAATAAACTGGGGTTTCCCCACTTGCTAGGCCGGGTTATGTAAAAAAGTACCTTAATTTGTGGTCACATATTATTTGGACCAGGGGCGTTATGGACACCTGGGTGCTATAAAACCCGGATTTTTTACGTTAGGTTGCTTATTTTCGGGATAAATAGACCAATCCTTCGTAGTCAGTTTAGTTATATCCTGCATATCGGGTGCAACCAGCCAACAAGGACTATGGACAAACGGACCACCATTGAACAATGGAATCTCATCCTGGAACACTTCAAGATCGGATATTCACATCGCCAAATAGCTAAATCGGTAAATCTAAGCAAATCAACTGTACTCAACATCATTCGGCGCTTCGTCGACGAATATCGGATAGAGGACAAGGGCAGAATGGCACCAAAGAAGATTTTCACCGAACAGGAAGAGCGGAGGATCATCAGGAAAATAAGGGAAAATCCCAAGCTATCGACTCCAAAATTAACTCAACAGGTGCAGGATGAAATGGGGAAAAAGTGCAGTGTGGAAACTGTGCGCCGGGTTCTGCGCAACCATGTCTTTAATGCCTTTATAAGCGCAAAAAATAAAAGGACTAGGATGACATTCGTCAAAACCCACTTGGACAAGGATTTGAAGTTCTGGAACACATTCATATTTGAAGATGAGCCCAAATTAAACATTTTTGGCTCAGACGGACAAAATTATGTGTGGCAACAGTCCAATACTGAGCTGAGTCCCAAAATCCTAAAGGCAACAGTCAAGCACGACGGAGGAAGTGTCATGGTATGGACATCTATCTCGGAAGCCGGCGTCGGAAATTTTGTGTTTTTTGAAACAACAATGGACAAGAATATGTATCTAAATATATTAAAGGAAAATGTACTCCAAAGTGCCGAGAAGCTAGGAATCCGGCGTACTTTCCGGTTCTACCACGACAACGACCAGGACAACAACCAACCATAAGTACAGTACAGGATTAGTACAGTCCTGGCATATCTGGAACTGCCCCCACATGATAATTCCACCGGTCCAGTCTCCAGATTTAAATGTTATTTAAAATTTGTGGGCTCTGCTGGAAAATAACATCCGGAATCACAGATCCGATCTCAAGAATGCTCTGCTGGATTAGTGGAGCAAAATCAGTCCAGAAACGACCCGAAAGCTGGTATCTTCCATGAATAATAGGTTAGGGGAAGTTATTAAGGCTAAATGATATCATACTAAGTACTAACATCCTTATTTAACTTTTTATACGCCAAATATGTTACTTTTCTAAGACTGGACCAAACAAGCTTTGACATGTATTTTGGCAATATTTTCAGTTTTTGACTAATTTTAGTTAATTAATTAATATTTTAATAAAAACTAATGTTTATTTTTCAAACGTGATATAACATGAAACAAATTGGCATTTAAACATTTTGCGTTTGTTTCTTTGTTTAAACCTTAGAGCACTTTACATTTTTTGCTAGACACTGGGCCTTATGAGCTGAGAGACACTGTATATATTAGAGTATATACATCTATATTCAAGTTTTTATATTGCTTGTTATATACTTTTTATACTTTGATACCGAAGGTATCCTCTACCATTTTCAGTGTTCTTCTTCCTGATATCTCATAAATTGTCTAGCAGCTAAGTTAATTCATTTCTATTGAATATGGATAGCTAATAATTGCTTTAAAATAAGGAATACAATACAATAGACAGATTGTTTTATAAAATTCGTGATTTGTAAACAATACTTATGAAAATCTTTGATTTTTTGTTAATAATATTATGCACACAGAGATCAATGTATCAGAGACTGATACTAAGCAAAGAATGCACTCTCATGCGCAAAAAAAAATTTCAAAAATATATTAAATTTTCGAAAGTTGCAGCTTATTACTTAACTTTTTGTCTGAAGTATTAGTTAGTTACGTAAAGGCATGCACTTGACATTATGCCTTTTGGCCGTCTATCTGCTTGAAATATTCAGTTTGCTGTCTGCAATTAAAAGTTCACACCCCCAGATTTTTTTTTTTTAGTTTTTAAACTACATATATATGTTTAAATCAACCCAGCCAAGATATTTTTGTTGTTCTTATTTTGAAACTGAGTTATAGTAACAACAACAACAATTACAAATAACAAATGATTCACTGAGAATGGTTGTTGGAATGTTTAATGAACAATTAACACCGTGCTGTCCATTTACAAAATATGGTGTTGTTGTTGTTGTTGTATTTTGTAGGTTAATTTGCCGTTAAATGGCTCAATGTGTTGCATTGCCTCGGCCAAAGAAAGCATTTTGGCTCGAACAAAAATATGGCAAAAGAATTTCCATATACTACTTACGCCAAGAACAGAAGACATTTTGGTTTGGGAAAGTTTTGTTGTCACGTTTGGGTCTGGCGGAAGTCCATAGGTACATAGATGGGTAGCAGACATGTATGTAGAGTTTGATAAGCCGAATAGAAAGGCGCCATAAATGTGGGCTTAAATAGAGCGTCCGCCATGACTGCAGGAGCAGGAGCTGTTGTTGTTGTGACTTAAAGTGATAACTTTTGATTTCTATTTGGATTTCTTTGCTTGAGCTGTCTTGAAAGCTCTTAATAGGTCAGCATTGACCCTGGCACGCACCCGATGACAACTATACTGGCTGAGCGAGATGTAGACAGACGGACGGACTAGTTGACCCATTTTTTGTTGTTTTTAATTTTTTTGTTAAGTCCGGCTAAAATTGCAGTGTTATTGAAATTGCATTATTCACGCATTCACCCCAAAATTGCCGAGTCATCAACAAAATAGATACATATGTATCAACACACGCACATAGATACATACATACGTTTTCTATCTGTAACTATGATTTGCTTGTCTTACCACTGCTGCTGCCACCTTTACGTTTCTTCGATTTTGCGAAATCAATTACATGCATTGCAGTGGTGCCACATGATTGCTTAGAAATTAACTTCAAGCAAATAATATTCAAAATAATATTCAAAATAATATTCAAAATAAACTAGTTGTCTATGTGGGTGTGGCGCACACTCTTTATGTGAACTTTCATTTTTATCCATATGTACTAAACACATACATATAAACGGTCTCGTCTGAAGCCAAGTGGACTAAAACGGCCGAGACACACACATACACAACAACAACAAATTTGAAATTTAAACGTAGATTATCTAAATTATATTTTAATGGTCGCTCGACTCGTTTCTGTGGTTGACTTTGTTAAATACCTGTCCCTCGACTAAACAAAAACCCCCAAAAACTCGCTGGACCCCTTCTCTCTTTCAACCGCCATCAAAGCTTCCGCTGATCCCTGCATCAAACGAATATTTTTTTTATTGTATATGTGTAGATGCGCATAATTAGCGCGCTAGTCGCTTTTTATTATTGTTGTTTTTATAGTATTTGTTGGCAGTTAGCTTTTGGGTTTTGATTTCGCCCATTGGCTATTTCTTGAAAGTTATGCAATCGATCGCCAGCCAGCTCATTCTGCACATTTTTTCATAATTATAATACTGATTTGCGTTTTAAGCTTCACAACGCCAATTTAATATTACGAGTATTATTTATGTACCTTCGTGTTTGTGCAGGTACCATAAGTGCTTCGCAGCTAAACATCGATCTTAATACATGTATGCACATTAATTATTCGAATCGACTCAACTCAACTCGAATCGCTTTGCGTTTGGATTTTCATTTAACCATGAGCAATGTATAATTTAAAAGTTATGCGACTGCTTGGCGAATCGAAAAAAATAGTATATACATGTACATATATGTTGAAATAATTAACTGCATACCTTTTACCTGTACCATAGACATTAAATGGAATCAATGTCAAGATATATATATATATATATATATTATATATACGCTCAAGTATGTATATGCCACATGTTCCTTTCCAACTAGAAACAACTTGTTGTTTATTTTTCGACTGAGTGGTTAGTAAGACATTTTGTAGATGGTGGTGTAGTGGAAAGAGGTACATAGATAAGAATATGTGTTTAGTTCTGATACCTTCCTAATAGCCTAATATAATATAAGAATAGAAAACAAAATTGAAGTGCAACTACTGAGCAAGGTTGAATTGTAGTTCGTTGAGAAGATCAAACTCGATGTCAACTAATTTGAAGTTTCACAGCAATATGCGAAATTGGGTCATCGTTCGATGACACTTGTCTCCATAATTTAATACAACTTTCTCATATTTTCAGTTGTGCAAGTAAACATAATGCTTAGGGTCTTATCATTTGAACTTCATAGTGAGAAAGCCGACTTTGAGCTTGTCTCAATCGGCATTGTTAAAATGTACTCGCAGCTGTCACTTGGCCTCACTCTAATGTTGTCCAAATCGCATTGCCAAGTTGTAAAGTAAAGCCATAATGTTAATGCCATCAATTAAGATGAATCTCACAAATCCAAAGCCGAAAGCAAATCGCAATAAAGCTGCTCAAAAATTTAATTGATGAGATTTTAGCAAATGCCGCTAAATTAACAAGAAACATAAAAAGAAAACAACTAAAACAAAATGCAAATGACACCGTACGCAATAATAGTGATAATAATAATCAAACACAGCTAGTTGATGCTCTATAAGAAATAATTTGGAGTTTAATATATATATATATATATAAATAAGAGACGAACAC